ATTGAGTCAAGCGATTGGGAACAGAAGTAGAGGTTGTGGAAATTGTGCCTCATTTTTGCTTTTTGAGTTTTAGCAATTGAAAAAACTGTAACCTTAAAGTAGTGATCTATTAGTTTTTCTCAAATGCTAAAACACATTTCACAAACATTTCCTCCATTTTCCCCAATGTCTAAACACAACACCCTTTTCTAAAACTACATAAACACAACCACACCTTCTCACTTCAAAACTCAAACTTTCACACCAAAAGAGCAGCTCGAAGCTTTCAAAAATGTAAACACATACACATCATTACACACTACCGCAAAACAAGTGAAAACACAATGCTCAATTTGTGAGAAGGTTCTTTGTTTCATAACTGCCAATTTGCCCATTTTTTTTAGAAACTTTACAGTTACGGATCTTCTTAGATCTCTGCAGAGGATTAGGCATTTAGATTTGTGAGTTTCATATGAAGAGTATAAATCTATAGAAAATTCTGCATGCACACTACTGTAACACAACTCAATGCAAAAACAGAATATACTGCACACAACAGTACTCTTGAAACATGAGCAGGGTGTGAAATTTTTTATTTACTTTATTCACAACATACACAAACACACACAAACACACACACACACACCACAATCACTGTGCGGCATCATGCCGCTGAGCTGCATCGGGCCACATCACCTAATCCACATCGCAGGCTATATTGTCTCTTGCCAGGCACCGTGGGAAAAATGCCCTGGAATGGCGAATCCATCCTTGTAAGGCCTCCACTTGGATGTCACCACAGGGCAGCTCCATTGCCCGTAGGAGGTCCTCTCTAGTGTATGGTTGTCTGTCATACACCTTCTATAGGGTATGAACTCCTCTATAGGGTTCAGGAAAGGGGAGTAGGGTGGCAGACAGACATTTAAAAAGTGGTTACTGTTGGTGGTGAACCACTCTCTGATTTGGTTTGCTCTGTGGAAGCAGACATTGTCCCAAATGATCACATAAATGTGATGTGCGGGCCCAGGATGGTGTTGTTGGCGGTCCAGGAGGATGTCTTTTAGCTCCTCTAGGAAGGTGAGGAGATGTGGTCACAGCATTAGCAACAAGTGTCTTCAATTTTGAGTCGTTGTGTGTAATGAATGAAGACAGGTGTGTTCACTGTGTTCAATTAGTGCTGACTGTGGCAAGCATTTGGCATCACATGAGCTTTCATTTGAGAATATGAGCAGAGTTCTTTTGCAACTTGTGTTTTAGCAAGGAAAAATGTGTTTAGATTTATGAGAACGGAGGATTGTGTTTTGTGAATTGTGTCTTCATGTGAAAAGTGTTTATGATAATGGAAAATGATGGCTAGAATTAGTAAATGTGTTTAGACAACTGGTCACTTGGTTTCGAGGATTGGCTTTTGTGCTTTAGCATTTGAGAAAAACTGTAATATTCTTTTAAAACAGATTTATGTATTTCATTTTTAAATTTGCAAATTGATTTCTTTGATGTTGTTTTTGTTTCACTAGGTCAACTTGCCACACATAATCTGGCATATTTTTATTACAGACACTAGCACAACCAGGCTGAGGATGAGAATCAGCTCCTCAAACTCCGAGACCATGCTGCTGAACTGGAAAAGGGTGGAATGCCTTCTCCACATAGAGAGGAGCCAGTTAAGGTGGCTTGGGCATCTAGTAAGGAAGCCTCCTGGATGCCTGCCTGGTGAGGTTTTCCAGGCACGTCAAACCGGGAGAAGACCTAAAGGAAGGTCCAGAACATGCTGGAGGGACTTTGTCTCTTGTCTTAGGAGTCCCCTGGAGGAGCTGGCCCAAGTGGCTGTAGAGAGGGAAGCCTGGGCTTCCCTGCTCAGGCTACTGCCGCCGTGACCTGACCCTGGATATGCGGCCAAAAATGGATTGATGGATGGTCTTCTCCAAGTCAGGGATGAGGTCCTACCTCACATGTTCAGATGGAGTGTGAGGTCAAATGGCGGATTGGTGCTGCATCTGCATTGATGCATACTGGTATGTTGTGGTGAAAAGAGAGCTGAGCTGGAAGGGGAAGCTCTCAATTTACCATTCCATCTATGTTCCTACCCTCATTTACAAGCTTTGGGGAGTGATAGAAAGAATGAGATTGCAGATACAAGCGGCGAAAAGGAGTTTTCTCCACAGAGTGGCTGGGCTCTTCCTTAGAGGTGGTGCCTGTGCTCGGCAGCCTCGCCTCTGTCAGTGCGCCCCAGGGCAGCTGTGGCTACATCGTAGCTCATCACCATCAGTGTGTGAATGAGTGTGTGAATGGATGAATGATACACTGTAGTGTAAAGCGCTTTGGAGTCCTTACTCTGAGAGGCGCTATACAAGTGTGGGTCATTTATCATTTAGAGGTAGGGTGAGAAGCTCAGTCATTTGGGAGGGGCTCACGGTAGACCCGCTGCTTCTCCACATCGATAAAAAACAGTTGACATGGCTCAGGCATCTGATCTGGATGCCTACCTGGTGAGATTTTCCAGGCATGTCCAACCTAGAGGAGACAAGAAGATCCAGGACACCTGGAAGGACTGTCTCTTGGCTGTCTCGGGAATGCCTTGGGATTCCCCCAGAGGAGCTGGCCCAAGTGGCTTGGGGAGGGAAGTCCAGGCCTCCCTGCTTTGGCTGTAGTTGTGACCCGACCCCGAATAAGTGGACAAAAAGGGATGGATGCATAGATGGATAGCACAACCAGGCTTACTTTTTACAGTTTTTTTCGATTGCTAAAACACGTTTTTCAAAACTGCACACACAAAACCTCAAACATCACACACAAATTGCTAAACCCTGTCGTCCCTTTGCAAAACAACTCTGCCATCAAATCTCGTAACATGTTCACAAAATGGAACACGCTTTCATTTGGTAAACACAGCCATATTTCCACATGACACACACATACCATTCACTGAATAAAAACAAGTAGCTTTTGGCTGAACACTACCAAGCATGGAAAGAACACAAGAGCAAAACTGAAAACACAATTAGAGAAATGGAACACACTGAATCTATTACAACGCCCACTTCTCTCATAGACAAACATTAGACATCACACAAATTTTGAGACAAAACATGGTCGACACTGTGAAACGGCTGAGGTTTGGCTGGACCCTCTGGCCAGCATCCCTCATGGTCAACCCATGGTTGAGCACATGGTCCAATACAGTGGCACGAATTTCCTTGGAGATTTAGATTCTGCTTCTTCGTTATCTTGCTTCTCCTTGTTGTCCTCCTCCTCTTCCTCTTCTCCATCCTCCTCTTTCTCCTCCTCCTCTTCCCCTTCCCCGTCCTCCTCCTCCTCCTCTTTCTCCTCTTCCTCTTCCCTGTCCTCCTCTTTCTCCTCCTCCTCCCATACGTACCCCTCTCCTTCTCTGTTGTCTGTTGTCTCTGTTCTCCATTGCTCATCAAACAAAACAGAGTGTCAAGCCTCCTTTTATGCTGCGGTCCCTGACTGCAAATAGCTCACCTGGTCCGAAGGTTTCGAGATTTGAATATTTGTGTGTTGTTGATTGAAGCTTTGAGAATTTATGTGAGAAGTGTGTGTAAACCTGAAAATTGTGTGTTGTGTTTTGACAGCATGGTAATGTGAAATTGACATCAGAGTGTAAAGGAGGAAAATCAGAGTTCTAATATGATAAGGAAATCTTAAGCAGTGATAAATTGAGTCAAGCGATTGGGAACAGAAGTAGAGGTTGTGAAAATTGTGCCTCATTTTTGCTGTTTGAGTTTTAGCAATAGAAAAAACTGTAATAGGACAAAAGCACAAACAAGTACTTACAAATGCTTGAAAAATTTGCAAATTCATAAAATACATACCTCCTCCCAACTTTTTATGCTCTGTTCAGTCATTTGAGAGCACATATTAGTCCTTAATTGAGGCGTAAATAACTAAAAACAGTCTAAAGACAGCAGGCTAATTGAATAAAAATGCTGAACCTTTTTGCTCCAAAATTAATTTTTTTAAATGATCATATTTTCTTAATTTCTTTTCCTGACCTGGATATTTAGTGTTGTTTTAACTTATGAAAAGTGAAATGGAATTTAATATTTCCTAGATAAGTTTTGTCAAGATCACCACAGAAACTCCTAAGACACAAGGCAGCATAACACATAGCAAAACCAAGTGCAGTTGACAAAAAAGAAAATGCTTTCACTTTGCTTTTTGGTGTTGAGAACTCTGTATTATTGTTATTTCTGTAAAAGTCCTGCAAAAGTATGCATAAAGATTTGCCAATGTCTGAATGCATCACATATGAACACATTTGCATTAAATCCCAACTTAAACAACGAGCAGCCACCTTGAACTTCACTGTCAGGTAAAAAAGCAAATAGGACAAGTTTTTTTTCATATTGTGTGACATTTTAATACCAAATGCTTTGTCAAAGGCCCCTTTTTATTAGAGCAGCAGCAGATTAGTTTTTCTTTAAACTATAAGAATTTAAACTTGAAATATCCAGACTTTCTTCAAACAAATTGCATCTTGATCACTAATCCGTTTCTCAGAAACTCCCTCAATGAATGCCTCCACATGGACCTCTTGCAGAGAACAAGTAATATACTAATTTTGATTTGTGTTCCCCAGTTATTGTCCACCTCCCACAGGGTTCAGGGAAAAACTTTTATAGTTTAAGTCACATTTTACCTATACAGTAAAGCCCTGTCTTGGAAACCAAACAAAGCAAAGCTATTAAGTTCACAGTGGAGGTTCCTATAACTCAGCTGTGGCTGGGCACATGGAGGCCCAAACATTGGCTGTGGGTCTTTTGGGGACGTCCTACTGTTTGGCTTTACTGATGGAGAAATCAGTCTGAGTGAGAGGAGAGGGAGAGAGGGACTCTGCTTGGCTTGCTATTCTTTGCAGAGAGGCAGCTAGCAGGGCATCGCCTCATTGCCTTGGTAACCATTCGGTTCGCCTGACAAGGGTTGCCACGGCAATGAGACAAAGGGCATGATTGTTGGGACTAGTTTCCTCCCTTAAAAAGAGTGAGAGAGGGCAAGAGAGACATTCTTTGTCTCTGGTGAAGCTAGAGATGGACACAGCATCCAGTTATTCTGCCAAATCTGCTCCGGTTGGGTAAACTGGACCCGTGGTACTTTTGTGAAATCAGATCACACAAGTTTTTGACTTTTCACCTCTAAATAACGTTTCTGTAGGATCAAATGCAAGCCATGCCTGATTTTTAGCTCCTTTGGCTAAATGGTTTTACTTTGAACCCTTTAATTGTTTCTTTTCACTTTCAGTGGACACTTCAGTTTCTTTTGAACTTAAAACACGAGTGCCACTCATGAACGGATGTGTTCTGCTGCCAACTAGGCTTGCTAAACAACTCTGGTTCATTTACCATACAGATTTACTTCAGTTTTAAATGTATGTTAGTTTTATTTGAGTTGTACAGTTGCAAGAAATCCTAAAAAAACAAGATTTGTTTTAAACGAACTGTGAAATTAAATAAACAAGTCAAGTTTAAAAGTTTCAGTTTAATACATATTTATTAGACTTTAAGACAAATATTTTCTGATCTTTGGTTGGATAACAAACATCTTGACCTACCTGTGAAGAAGAGGAGGAGGAAGAAGCAAGAGAGCGTCAGTAGTGAAGGAATGCCACTGAAATTGTCTCCTGTGAAGGGGGACTCCCTCTCCACCTTCATCTTGTGTCCTGGGCAGAGTCTTTCTCCCGCTTAGTGAACATGTTTTATCCACCCTGGGCACGTCTCCACCGCCTGTCTGCCTGCCTGCAGCAATGGCCTCTGCCTGGTCACACTGAGCTCCAGTCTCCCCACGGTCCCCCAGTCACCACAGCCCACAACAGCCAACTGTGTGTGTGTTCGTGTGTGAGACAGAGACACAGTGTTGACCGGCCCTTTTCTTCTACTTTCAAAGGAGAGCTCAAAGACAACATGCTGTGGTTTTAAGGCAACTTTAAATCATGATTATATTTATGATTTAATCAATTTAATTTAACATTAAAACAAACTTTGAGTTAGTTTGCAAAAGTTCCTGCTACTAGGAAGTTTACTTCAGCTGAATAAGCAGCTCTGAGAGGAATCCACTTGAACTTGTCAAATGTGTTAAATACTCTTTTATGGTCTGAAACCTTGCAATACACCCCCAGTTCATCTCTTGTGTGAATCTGCTTTTAAGCTGATGTTTTTAACCCATCTCTCTCTGCCATCACCTGTCCGAGAGCTACAAAACAGAGATCTACAAGGCATTACTTGATTCCTCCTCTAGGTGGAGTTAATTATTCAGGCAACAGCCCAATGTTTAGTTTTTCCTCAATTGTTAGCACACATTTTCTGAAAGCATGCCTCATATTGTCAGAACTCTACACACAAATCCAAAAAAACACACACAATGGGCAAAACCCATAAATTAACCTGCAAAATGAAACTTCACATTCAAAACATTATTTCTCCTCACAATGTGATTTTGTTTTCAAATGACACACAAACCATCATATGAATAGACATTTATAAGAACCAGCCGAACACTTACGTGCTCAATGTTAAACACTATGATGAATGGAAAACACTTCTCCGTTCATCATAATGACTTACTGTAAGTCTTTTTGGTTCAGTGTTACACCTACTACAGACAGTATATACACACATGTGTCATAAAATATTTCAGAATATTGTTTTTACACTCTGAACACACAAATACATGGAGTGGCCACTATTGTGAAGCACAATCATTATGATCACAATATTGAAATATGTATAATTTACTGTACACAGTGTTGAGTGTATGCATCGATTGTGGGACTCACTTGCACATAGTTATATCGCAATTCTTTGACTCTTTCTGAATTGTATTCAAATGGCACCTGCAGACCTGCTTCATCCTGAGATGATATCTGTGCAAGACACAGTCCAGTGTTGATAGGCTGACCCTATCAATATTTTGAAACATGTCATTGTTTTCTAATATTTTTTCTTTGTATTTGCCGTAATGTTATGGCATTGTTTTCTAGGACCATGTTGAGGATTTCTGTTTCCTGTTCAGGAGACTGAAGACGTTCCCGACCTCCTCGTTTTGGTAATCTTTCAGTTCTGCCAAACGAATAGTAAAATAATGTGAATACAAAGTAGGTACATTTCCTAAATACTGGAAACATGCTTTACAGTATTTTTACTGTCCAACAAAACAGTCCACAGGCAATACTACTACTATACTCTTTGAATACTGATTGTATTGATGTGCAGTAGGGGTTGTACGAACTAGTCGACTAGTCGACTAGTCGACTAGTCGACTTCACGGCTCTGTAGTGACTTTTTATGCCTGTCATCAACTAGTCGCTGTCACGTGATAATGACTGACAAGATGCAGTCCTCGGAAAAGACAGCAGGTGATGAGCCCCTGCGCGTCTGGATCGAGGCGGAGGCGACGCGCTGTGCGGTACTGACACCGGCGGTAAAACGGACATTTAACCAAACTGTGACCTTTTCCCTCTTGCAATTTAACCTTCCCCTCACCCCCATCCTAATCAGTTTGTGCATGCAAAGCTGATCGTTGACATGCGCTCCAGGCATTGCATCCTGAGCACCGCCAAATCAGGTGTCACCACCTCAAAAACAAATTAAACACGTGATCGTTCATGTCGGCTCATTTCCTTTCATGTTTTCTGTCTGTTATTTGTGCCTGATGCATTTCGCTGCTGCGGAGCGAGGCGCATCACCTGTTGTCCTCCGGTGACGCACCCCCAAGATTCCATTATCTCCACACCGCTCCGCTCTCCGCAGCAAAAACGGTCCCGTTGTAGTCGGCCGGCGAGCAGCGGCACTCCGCTGTTTTTGCGGTCGGTAGATCTTTTAGAACTGCAGTTCAAAGGTAACTCATAAGGTGAATATATATGAACCCAGGTAGCAGTTTTTCTTTAGGATTGAGAGGAGATGCAGGAAGATAATAAACAGGACAGAAAAATAGTCAAATAAAAACAAGTTAGTTTTTGTACCTGGTGGTTGCGACAAACAGACACCATTGAAGGTCATCAGAAGTGAGGAACAGAAAATGAAATAATTATTTTAATGTTTAGAGCAGCAGGAACTCTGAGAGGCTGCAGGCGCATCAGTGAGTTTGCGGCGGCTGCTGCGCAGGGGGAGGGGGGAGAGGACTGAAGTAGGATGCAGAAACTACCGTTGTTAAAAGAGATGTGTTAACTTAGAAAATGTGGGCGCAATTTTAATTGTCAAAAACTCCAGCGAACCTACCGACCGACCCCCCCCCCCCCCCCCCCCCACCACCACACACACACACGCCGCCGCTTCCGGCGTATGACGTCATCAACGACTAGTCGAAGTCTACTCGACTTTCATTACTTGACTGTCGACTTTAAAAAAAATAAAGTCGTGCAGGCCCTAATGTGCAGTACTGCCATTTTCTAGTGAGAGAAGATTTCTTACCTATTCTCATTTCGGAAGGTCCGGATGATGGATGCTACAGTGTACCTGCTCAAATTTGGCTGTACTCTTTGCCCAGCCTCCCTCATTGTAAGACCATGGTTGACCACATGATCAACCAAAGTGGCTCGGATCTCATCAGAGATTATGGTCCTTGGTCTTCCTCGTCCTCCTCCTCTTACTCTCACTCCTCTGGCTCTGCCTCTGTTTACAATGTTGGCATCCATTGCTCCAAAACAGAAGAGCTCACCTGTTGCCCTTTTATGCTAAAGCTCTGATTGCTGATTGTGAAACGGTGTGATGTCAGTGTGCATATTTGATATGCAGAGGGTTCCTTGTGAAAACAAGATATTTTCCGCATGAAAATAGTGTCAACAGCAGAGAATTGTGTGTAGTGTTTTGAAAAGTGTGTTTTAGATTTGCAATTTGAGTGCAAAGCAGGGATTGTGCTTGTAGTTTAGCAGAATTGGTTAAGGGGGTTGGTGAATTGGTTACATGTTGTGGTCATTTTGTCTCAAGTACCAGAAAATGTGTGTAAACAATTGAGAAAAACTGTAAAAAGAAATAAGAAAATCACAGAAGGCACTGCATCAAACAGTCTTAAACAATCCTGGCCTTGTTTTCCCACCAAAGTTAAGTGAAGCTAAAGGAAACCTTCTTTTCTCTCCATCCATCCATTTTCATCCGCTTATCCAGAGTCGGGTCGCGGGGGCAGTAGCCTAAGGCGAGACGCCCAGACTTCCCTCTCCCCAGCCACTTGGACCAGTTCCTCTGGGGGAATCCCAAAGCGTTCCCTGGCCAGGTGAGAGACATAGTCCCTCCACCGTGTCCTGGGTCTACCTTTAGGTCTCCTCCAGGTTGGACGTGCCTGGAAAACCTCACCAGGGAGGCGTCCAGGAGGCATCCTGACCAGATGCCCGAGCCACCTCAACTGGGTCCTCTCGATGTGGAGGAGCAGCGGGTCTACTCTGAGCCCCTCCCGAATGACTGGGCATCTCACCCTATCTCTAAGGATGAGCCCAGCCACTCCGGAGAAAACTCATTTCGGCAGCTTGTATCCACGATCTCGTTCTTTCGGTCACTACCCAAAGTTCATGACCATAGGTGAGGGTAGGAACGTAGATCAACCGGTAAATCGAGAGCTTCGCCTTCTGACTCAGCTCTATCTTCACCATGACAGACCGGTACAATGCCCGCATCACTGCAGATGCAGCACCAATCCGCCTATCGATCTCATGCTCCAGTTTTCCCTCACTCGTGTACAAGACCCCGAGATACTTAAACTCCTCCACTTGGGGCAGGACCTTATCCTGACCCAGAGAAGGCATTCTACCCTACGACCATGGTCTCAGATATAGAGGAGTTGATTCTCATCCCAGCTGCTTCACACTTGGCTGCGAACCACTCCAACGAAAGCTGAAGATCATATTCTGATTAAGTCAACAGGACCACATCATCTGCAAAAAGCATGGACCTGATCCTCAGGCCACCAAAACAGATGCCCTCCACACCTTGGCTGTGCCTAGAAATCCTGTCCATAAAGGTTATGAACAGAATCGGTGACAAAGGGCATCCTTGGCGGAGTCCATTTCTCACTGGGAACAAGCCCGACTTACTGCCGGCAATGCGGACCAAGCTCGGACACCAGTCATACAGGGACCTAACAGCACGTATCAGAGGGCCTGATACCCCATACTCCCGGAGTACCCCCCACAGGGCCCCCCGAGGGACGGGGCAAAACACCTTCTCCAAATCCACAAAACACATGTAGACTGGTTGGGCAAATTCCCACACACCCTCCAGGATCCCCCTAAGGGTATAGAGCTGGTCCAGTGTTCCACAGCCAGGACGAAAACCACATTGCTCCTCTTGAATCTGATTCAACAATCCGATGGACCCTCCTCTCCAGAACCCCTAAATAGACCTTACCAGGAAGGCTCAGGAGTGTGATCCCACTGTAGTTGGAACACACCCTGCGGTCCCCCTTTTTAAATAAGGGGACCACCACCCCGGTCTGCCAGTCCAGTGGGACTGCCCCCAATGTCCATGCAATATTGCAGAGCCGCGTCAGCCAACACAACCCCACAACATCCAGAGCCTTAAGGAACTCCGGGCGGATCTCATCCACCCCTGGAGCCTTGCCACAGAGGAGATTTTTAACCTCAGTGACCTCAGCACCAGAGATTTGAGAGGCCAACCCAAAGTCCCCAGAATCTGCTTCCTCACTGGAAGACGTGTCGGTGGGATCGAGGAGGTCTTCGAAGTATTCTGCCCACTGATCCACAACGGTAGTAGAGGTAGAGATCAGCAGCACACCGTCCCCACTTTAGATAGTGTTGGTAGCGCACTGCTTTCCCCCCTGAGGCACCGGATGGTGGACCAGAATCCCCTCAAAGTCGTACGGAAGTCTTGCTCCATGCTCTCACCGAACGCCTCCCATGCCTGGGTTTTTGCCTTGGCGACCACCCGAGCTGCGCTCCGCATGGACTGCCAGTACCCGTCAGCTGCCTCTGGAGTCCCACAGGCCAAAAAGATCTGACAGGGCTCTTTCTTCAGCTTGACAGCATCCCTAACCGCCAGTGTCCACCAGCGGGTTCGGGGGTTGCCACCACGACAGGCACCGACGATCCTGTGACCACAGCTCCGGTCGTCCGCCTCAACAATGGAGGCACGGAATGGGGCCCATTCAGACTCAATGTCCCACGCCTCCCCCGGAACATTTTGGAAGGTCTGTCGGAGGTGGGAATTGAAGCTCCTTCTGACAGGAGACTGCCAGACGTTCACAGCAGACCCTCGCGATACGTTTGGGCCTGCCTGGTTTGACCGTCATCCTCCCCCACTTTCTGAGCCAACTCACCACCAGGAAGTGGTCAGCTGACAGCTCCGCCCCTCTCTTCACTCGAGTGTCCAAGACATGCGGCCGCAGGTCAGATGAAACAACAACAAAGTCGTTCATCGAGCTGCGGCCCAAGGTATCCTGGTACCAAGAGCACATATGGACACCTTTATGTCTGAACATGGTGTTCATTATGGACAATCCATGACTGGCACAGACATCCAATAACAAAACACCACTCGAATTCAGATCAGGGGGGGGGCGTTCCTCCCAACCACACCTCCCCAGGTCTCACTGTCGTTGCCCATGTGAGCATTAAAGTCCCCCAGCAGAACGAGGGAGTCACCGGAAGGAGCGCTTTCCAGCACCCCCTCCAAGGTCTCCAAAAGGGTGGGTAGTCTGAACTGTAGTTTGGCGCATAAGCACAGACCACAGTCAGAACCTGTCCCCCCACAGGTAGACGGAGGGAGGCTACCCTTTCATTCACTGGGGTAAACCCCAATGTACAGGCACCAAGATGGGGGGCAACTAGTATGCCCACCCCTGCTCGGCGCCTCTCAGTGGGAGCAACTCCAGAGTGGTAGAAAGTCCAACCCCTCTCCAGGAAACTGGTTCCAGAGCCAGAGCCATGCGTTGAGGTGAGTCCGACTATACCTAGTTGGAACCTCTCAACCTCACACACCAACTCAGGCTCCTTCCCCACCAGAGAGGTGACATTCCATGTGCCAAGAGCCAGCTTCTGTAGCCGAGGATCAGACCGCCAAGGTCCCCGCCCTCGACTACCACTCGTCACACACTGCACCCGACCCCTTTGGCCCCTCCCACGAGTGGTGAGCCCATGGGAAGGGGGGCCCACGTTTCCTCTTCGGGCTGTACCCGGCCGGGCTCCATGGGTGAAAGCTCGGCCACCAGGCGGTCGCCAACGTGTCCCATCTCCAGGCCTGGCTCCAGAGGGGGGCCCCAGTGACCCACGTCTGGGCGAGGGAACACGGTTTCCATTTACATAATTCATCATAAGAGGTCTTCGGGCTGCTCTTTGTCTGATCCCTCACCTAGGACCTGTTTGCCATGGGTGACCCCACCAGAGGCAGAAAGACTCAGACAACTTAGCTCTTAGGAACATTGAGACACTCAAACCCCTCCACCACAGTAAGGTGGCAGCCCAGGGAGAGGTTATTTACTCTCTTAGAAAAAAAAGAGTGAGCGCTGAGAAAGCGAAAGAAAAAAAATAACCATTTAAAGAATTTAGATCTTGCTTCTCATTGCCATTCAGGCTCACTTTTTAATATTTCAGATCTATTGCCAAGAGTAAACTCCCAGAAGTGACATCAGTCTCCTGTCGTTATGTTTTCTGGATTAGCCCATGTCCTTTGATGAGTCAGCTGCGTTATAAGTCATCTCACCCACTTCCAGCAAGTATTTTATTAAGAGTTTTTTTAACTGGAAAGACAAAGAGACCAATTCTCTGCAGAGGACACACGGTTGACAAGAGTGGATCTCTAGGACTGTGGGAGTGTAGCTACTGATCCTCCCTCCTGGTGTCCAGATTCCTGTGAACTGAGCCATCAAAGTCCAACCTCTCCCCTACACCTCTGCCCTCACTAAAAGCCATGCATGCCCACTCCTCTGATCTAGGCAGAGCTCGTGAGGCTCAGACAGTTTTATGTGAATACTTTATGACTGAAAACATTGTTGTGTTTTATACGTACGACTGGTACAAAACAATCTCCTCTGATCCAAAACAATTCATTTTACCTGGAAATGGTCAGAATATTCTAACTTAATCTTGTTTCGTTGAAATAAATATTATTTCACCTCATAAATGATAGAAATCAGGTGTTTATCTCCATCCTATTATTGTGTAACCGACTTGGAATTAAAAAGGTCCTTTTAAGATAGCAAGGCAGGGAGAGGAACCAGTGGAAATAATATAATTGCGCCCCCTGCTGTTTGTCCTGGCGGATTGGTCTCTAATTATCTCCCTGGAGACTGGAAATCTTTTTCCTTCCTGACGAGCTGTCTAAGAAGTAGAACAAGGCAACCAAGCAGCTCTCTCTTATGATGTGCTCTTAAAATAGTCCCAAGTTCAACTAAGCAACTTGTAAAAAGGGACCAAACTTACATGAGGTGATGTGGTTAGGGCTGCCATGTTGGATCCAGTAACATCCCAACAAACACGATGATCAGGATCATACTTTATTTTAAAACGCACCTTCCCCTTCACTGTCGGAATTCAATCGACAGCACAAAGTGGGTGTTGTGCTATGTTTGGAGGTGTGCATAATATTGATTGTTCACCCACAGTCATTAAAGACCGAAGACGTGACCGTGCCACCTCTGGGACTGAGTAGGAGAACAGAATAGATCGAAATAAAACCCGTAGAGGATGTTTATGAGATTGAGGAGGAGGGATGTCAGCCTGAGATGGAAGTGTTTGCACTCTGCCAGTGCAAAACCACTTCTAACGAGACGCTGATTGTCCTATCTCTACAGCTGGTGACACAGCCCGTTAACACACATGTGAGTGTGTGACTGTGGGGATGAGTGACTTGAGTGTGATTGGTGTGCTAAAGTATGGGTTGCGTTTTTCCTGTGTGAGAATGCATGTGCAGTTTGAGCTTGTGCAGTGTGCTGCGTGGTTCAGATGTGTGTGGGTGGGCTGAGTGGGTGCGCTGGGAGACTGAAGATGCTCTATCCTGCTTCTCATAAAGCCAACAAGACTGCCTCGCCAGATGAAGAGAAATTAAGGTGTACTTTTGTGGTTCTGACCACCTTATTACAATAAAGCATTTGTTATAAAACACCTGACAAGTCTCACTCTATCACCTCTCAAGTATCACTTTGATACATTATTATTTGTGGCATTCAATGTCGTTATTTATGCTAAATATGAGTACCTCCATCTTCTGCAAACAAAAAAAAAAAAAACCAGTACAAGCTAAACAGTTATGTTATGAATGATTCATGAAAGTTTTAGTGTTGGAGAACCACACGGGAAGCAGAACCTTGTTTCATCTTTAAGAAAACACGTTTCTTTCTATTAAAAGCTCAGCTTTTGTTGCACAGGAGAGGACGCGTCTTCATTTTGTGTACAAATTTACAGATTTTACTTTTTATTCAAAAGACAAAAAAATGAAGTTGATATGTTTGAATCATCATTAAATTAAGTTTAAAGCAGACATTTCACTGTTCATTTGGAGTGGATTTATTAGTGTAATGCCATGACTCTACACCAGTATTCAGGTACTAATATGTTACTTTTAAAGGCTCTGAAAGCTTTTACAACTGTTTTCAAATACAAGTTTAACTCACCGACACAAAAAAAATCAATTAAAAAACGAGCATATTGAACGGATATCTCGTTAAGATAAAGCTGTACCCAAATGCATCTGATAACTGCATGCTCACTGTTCTGGAAGATCAGATTTATAGAAAATGCTTGGAACTGTGAAAAGACTGATGTGATCGGAGAGATAAATATAACAAATAGAACATACATAGCTAGTTTTCTTTTGGTGATTTGTAAGTTTTAATCATTTTATGAGCAAGACCAATAACTGTTGAATTACAGGCAGGTCAGAAAACACGGCAAGAACAACACGTAACGCAAGCCACTAATCACCAAAAGTGACGCATTCAAGGTGTACACACAGAGTATATGCGCTGATCCATCTCAAAATAAGCCCTGTTTTGCATTTAGAGGACATTCATTTACACATTCACAGATCTTCGTCTAAAAACTAGCACAGTACCAGAAGTTTCACAAGTACATGCAGTGAGTTGCAAATTCTGGGTCAAAGACATCCGCACTGATGAGGCTGCTGAAGAAGCAGAGAGGGAGTGTTAAAGTTCACAAAATTCACATTACACACCCTCAAAACTGTTCATTTTTCTACCGCTAATTTGTGTTAAAAAATAAAGAAGATGACTTCTGACGGGCAGGGCGGGGGGTTAAAAAGGTGTGCCTGATAGCCAGCTCCGCCAGCTTACGCCAACCTTCTCCCACTACCTTCACTCTCCTCCTCCTTCTTTCCATCCAGGTCAGGACAGGGGCGTCACTGTTCCGGCACAGATGTGTCGTCTCTCTCTACTGCCCCCGATCTTCCTGCCTCTAAAAAAAGACACAGGCAAAGGAAAGTAAACAAATGAACAACCTAGAAAGAAGAGGTTCTGTTTGGTCAAGGTGAAAGGCTTTTTTACCAAGTGGCAAAACTATAATACTGCACTTATTTGAGTTTTCTTTTAAATTAAAGATAAAAATACATATTTTTCTATTTTGTACACAGTTGTTAGGCATAATACTTAGTAGATATGAGTAGAAGGAACTCAACTTTAAAGGAGTTTACACTTATCTTGCGAAAAGGGGGTCTCCCCCAGTGGGAGCAGCTCCATTAATTCTGCCTGGCCCTTTTAGGTATATACTGTACCTAATGCACCTGCAGCTATAAATACACCCCCTACCTAACGATACAACTAGGTTAGGAAGAATCATTCTTCCCAGAAAAAGAAATCACGTGATGTAAACGCTGCATTTTAAGACAGATGAGTCTTAAGATTTATTTCCTCATAGAGCAAACTGAATCTGTTTTGAGTGCTTAGCGTATAATAATAATAATAAAAAAATACTTTTATAGTAAACAGACAGCTTTTCAAGTTTAATTTTATACTTCTGTCCAATAAAGAAACATAATTTGAGTGTTTTATTTCCTCCTTCTTGTATGAAATAAAAGAAAGAAAACAGCAATAATGTACTTTGACATTTTCTAAGTGAACAGAACCTAAACAGCTTTGTCTGTCTTTAATAACACATCTAAATGTGGATTCATCTGAGCCCTTGAGCAGAACTAAAAAAGAAAAACAGCGAAAGATTCAATCATCTGTTGCTGAAGACCCCGCGGGGTAATTAAATGAGTCACTCAGTCTTTTCTTGCTTTAATCACACTTAGGTTAAGCCATGAGGGGCTTTAAAAGATGCCCTGAATTATGTATAGAATTTAAATGGATTATTATATGAATGCGTACCATGGTAAATCAGTTTGTGTTTCTGCATTATGCTCATGGATGTGGATGAAGGAGGAACCGAACCAGTGTTTTGTGTCATAAATGTAAATGCTTTTGACTATGTACTTCGAAATCCTCTCTACAGTATTACTTCTCTAGCACTTACCTGCAGTTACTTAGCATAGCTTGCGATGCATAAGCACAAGCACTAACCATAATGCCATCTTTAGCAGCATTATGGGACTTTCTCTTACCCCTCAGCTCTACAACACTGACCTGACACCCCGTGGCTGCTGTTGAGCACATCCCCAGTGCTGCTCACCTCCTCCCCCTCAGCTTTGTCCTCTGGCTTCATCTTCTTACGGGTCATATGGCCACGAAAGCCCGCCTGGATCTTGGCAGCAGCCCTATTAGCCTCAGGGTCATCCAGCGGGATGTCCATGATGTCCTCTTCCTCCTGAGGTCGGCTGCACTCCTCCTGTTCAAGCGGGGACAGCCCAGTTTACCAGAACAGATTTTTATGAACATGCTATGATATTTGCTCCATGAATCACCAGTGGGAGTAATTCATGGTAAACAGATTGCAGGACCATAGTTTGCAAAGTTAACAGTACATGTTTAACAGCATCTATTTATGGGTTTATTACGTTTTATCAGAAAGTCATTTGAGTTTGCAGAGGTGCGAGTGTCATCCTTTTTTGTCACTGAGACGCATCTGTTTAGATGCTATTTTTGTTTGTTTTTTTAATCACAAGAGGGAGCTGGAAACGTGTCCGATCATCTAGTTTAAAACACAAGCCATCAATAAAATTTGTTATTTCTCACACACACACACACACACACACACACACACACACACACACACACACACACACACACACACACACACACACAAACTGTGTGGGAAAAACTGAGGTTGGCGGTGAAGTATTTAGTGCTTCAGTTCAGTTTTAAAGAAGGAAAAAAGTTCTTGCTCTGCAGCGTTTGCCCAAAACAGATGATCCAGCGAAAATGTTTCTGCAGTCTGCACCAGCCACTCACCAGGATACTTAGAGCACCCAATCTACTGTCCCAAAGGAAACGTGGAGTGGGCGGAAGAGAGATTCAGGCTTGTGACAAACTGTCAGTGGAATAGTGCCCGCGATATTGATGAGTTATGTAAACACCTATTTCAATCGTGTGGAGATAGCAGATACGCTCTTACCCCTGCTTTTGCTCATGGTAAGTGATTGACATTTCACTCAAAGGCAGCCCACAGAAGGATCCCACTGTCATCCCACAATCTTGGTGAAGCAGAGCATCATGTCTCAAGTGAAACCCCTCCAGTGTAGGAGTGTGACCACCCACCTGTTCAGCCAGCTTTCATTAGCCGCTCTGTCTGACTGCTCACTGAGCAGCCAGCGTCCAGCTCTTTCACAGGAGCAAAGACACACAGCTGCACTGGATTTTTCTGCCAACACACATTCTTTGGGACATCACTGCCTCACAGGTCCTTATCTGATCAAGACTGGTTTTAAAAATCCACGAAACATCATCCATGTCGAATGAAATGGTTTGAAAACTTGTTTTTCTTATTTGTTTGAGGAATTCATTATTGAAGCATCTTTCTTAGAAGCATAAATTAAAATCATTAATGAATGTATTTTAGATTTAGAAGATAAAAGAAACACATCTGCAGCTTATAGTTTGGTACAATTAGTAAGTGCATCAGGTAAATACATTCATAAATGTCTGGATCTGCATTTACCAAACAAACTGAGTAGTGGTTAAACAAAACAACAAATCTTTAGAAAAGTTCATCTGAAGCCTCTACTTACATTGTGACAGTCCATTTCTTCTCTATAAGACGATTTAAGTCTTCAGCTGAGTCGACGCGGTGACTTTTGAGCCTAAATTTTGATGCAGGCCAGGTAGAGCGCTCTTTAAATGTGTCTCCGATGTAATACAGATGCCTCACTGGCTCTAACTAACAGTCACTGTACCCTCAGTAACAGCCGCACACGCACAGAAGTGAGAGAGAGAGAGAGGGAGAGAAGTAAAAAGAGAGCGAGAGACAGAAAAAGAGAGAGACAGACCTCCTACAAACATAACAGCATGTGTTTCATCTTTTCAGCTTCATTAAGGTTGATGACCCACTGTGTTCACTTTCCACACAGAGAACAAAACAATCAAAACAAACATCCTAAATATGAAAAAAAGACCCAAACCATCAAATAAATGGAATATGTATTTCTCTTTTAGTGACTTAAACTTTTATGGGTTGCGTTTCTGGCAATCTGAAAGTAAATAGGAACACCACCATGTTCACCGTTATTATGAACTCTAAAAATAAACATGATTAATATGGACACAAAGTTTAAATGGTCAAAAAGAAAAACAATAATTGCTGACTCCCAAATTCCACTAATAGTTCGAATAAAAAAATGGTGCAAGCATCCTGGGCTATTTTACACAGGAAGGTGTTATAAATTTATTAGAGGCAGAGCGAGCTAACAGCCCTCTCCATCCCTCTGATCCCAGCTGGTATGGCCGCCCACACTCCTCTGCCAGCCTCACAGACAAGACGAAGAGAGGGAGAAACTGAAAACATCCATTTATCCGTTTTATACCTCTGAGAGTAACACACTCCTTCCAGTTTGCTAATTACTGAAGCATTATTGCTTAGGCACACGGGTAACTGTGCTACGTTCACCAGCTGCATCAATCAAGAGGTTAAAATGTAGAGAATTATAAGCAATTTACATTTCATGAAACTGAATCTTTTGCTAATTTTGGTCCTTTTAGTCCATTCATTAGTAAATTTAATGGTTAAACTACATGGAAATTGTTATGGGGACTTGTAAATAGAATTAGAAGCAAAAACTGAAGAAAAAATACGAAGAGCTAATTGAATCTGCTACTGGGACAATGTGACAACAAAAGTCTGAAATATTAAAAAGCGCAGTGGCTTTAGCCAAAAGTGATGTTTTACTTTTTAATCAGCGAGTTAGAAACTGCTTTAAAGAGGTAGATTACTGGTACAGAGGGTGCCTAGCAACTACCAGCATCACAATCTTCTGATCATACCATGACGACAATGAGAGAGAGAGAGAGAGAGAGAGAGAGAGAGAGAGAGAGAGAGAGAGAGAGAGAGAGAGAGAGAGAGAGAGAGAGAGAGAGAGAGACAGAGAGAGACAGAGAGAGACAGAGAGAGACAGAGAACAGAATGGTGAGGGGTTACCATAGTAACATCCTCAGTACCGCCTCCTACACTCCCTCCCTGTGCATTTGGAGCCTTGTTGGTCCAGACAAATCAGTTGGGGCTACCTGAAACAGCAGTAAACGTTTGAGTCCTGATTCACAAGATACATTCTTTTGTTGACCATTTATGATGACGGATTATCGAGTCAAGTGTCAGTCTGCTGAGGCCCCGTTGGCTTCCCAAGAGGAGACTCGATCTGCCCCAAAATGTTTTTTTAAGCACACATCAGAACAAAGCCTCAGAAACTCCAACAAATGCTGCTCAAACCTGAGAAGGAAACTTCTGGACATGCCAGTTGGGATGCGCTTTAAAGTGGATCAGGAAGAATTATGCATTTTCCAGAAATCTGAATATTTAGGAGGCATTTACAAAAAAACCTACCCCACTGAGTCATGTACTTGAAGGTTTTATTTATCTAAGCTAACTAAAACCACCTCCGAGTCAAAGAGTCATGCTCAAAATGCCAGTAAGGACATTTATTATATCAGTCGGGATTCTTATAAATTGTAAATGTGTAATTTAAATGCACGAGAAATGTGTGAAATGCAGTGTAACAAGCATGATTAACCTTTAGCACACTGTTGAGAGGAACATCCAAGATTACCTTGTCACTCTTGTTTGCAGAGGCTGTGGCATCCTCCTCACACTCATCTGGCTCCTTCTCCTGTTCCTCTTCATGCTCAGCAGCTGTCCAAACAGCACTATGAGTGAGGCTGACAGTCTCTTCTTTCTTCATTTCTTCACTGTTTTCTTGCACCTCTGAATCCGACATTTTTCTCTTGTATTTCTCTTTTTCTTCTGAATTATTTTCCTGATACGAGTCCACAGCTGTTCTTGTACCTTGTTCCCTTTCTACAGTTTCTTCTTCTGTTCCAGTCATTGATACATTTGACTTAGTTGCGTATGACGGACTCTGTTCCACTTTGCCATCATTAGTTTTGGGATCTTTAGTCTCACCGTTATCATCTGCACATATGTCTTCTTCACCACCCACGTCAGATGTCACATCTTGTTCGTAATCAGGGTCATTTGGGTGTTTTTCATTTTTAGATTCTTGATTTTGATCAAATCCAAAAATATCCTCTGCATCCTTACGATCCGTTTCACTGTCTTTAATTTCCTTTTCTGCGTCATTGGTGGGCTGATCTGATGAGCTGATGCTTTTAGCACCTTCTTCCATCTCACCATCATCAATGGCATGTGTATCAGAGTCAATTGTGTCCAGATTCTCTTTTGTCACATCAAATTCTGCCAGATGACTCTCAATGTCCTGCTCTTCTGGAATAAAATCATTCTTGATTACTTCTATTTCAAGTTTGAATTGAGCTTCTGCTGAATCTGCAGTAAGCTCCAAGGACTGTGCTTTTTGTTCCATTTCTAATTCAGTATTCTGAAAGATCTCCACTGAAGCTTCTTCCATAAGCTTTTCCTCTCCAACTTCTCCAATAACTTGAGTCTCTGGAACATCTTCAAAGCTAATCTCAACCAAAGATTTGTCATCTGAAGCATCAGCCTCCATTCTTTCCCCCTCATTAATGTTTTGGGCTTGATCCTCAGTTTCTTGTTGGCTCCCCCGCCCGATTTCATGAGACAACTCAGCTTCAACTTCAGGGTTTAAGAATTTTTCTTCATCAATATTTCTAATATCTTGAGAAGAACATCTCACTTGTATTTTCTCAGTTCCTCCAAGCTCTGCAGCACCAACATCCATATTAGGTGGACCAGGATATGGAACAATCTCCACTGCGTCTTCTGTATTTTCTTCCTCTGAGTCTACCATTTTGCTCTCTCCTCCTTGTTTATCAACTCTGTCATCTTCAGACTCATGGAAGACCATTTCTGCACTGTGAATTTCTTTCAATGGCATCAACGCAGTGGGCTTTGACAGGAATGGAGGAATACTTTCTTCCTCATCTGTGCCTCCAGTTGAATCCTCCTTCTCTGAGGGATCTGGTTGTGTCGTGGAAAGAGCTGAAATTACTGCTGAGTGACTGGATTCATCTTCAGTTTGAGGCTCATGGGACTTTTCTCTAAAAAGTACAAAAAACACAACAGGATTAAAATATGCGATGATTTATCGGACAAGCAAACGTGCAATAAAGATATGTTTGTTATTTACAAGTAAATATGATTATGCTCAAACTGAACCCGTGACTTTCCTCCTGAAGATGCATTTGTTCTGCCTTCTTTTAAACCTTGACATTGCGAATCTGACAGCCGTGAGCTATAATTTAGTACTATGTTTAAGCATTCGGAATGTTTCCTAAGCATTTAAAATGACACTAAACTAAGGCAGATATCAAACCTTAAGCCAGTTCTGTTGATAAAAAAATTAATAATGCATGTTATTTTTTTTTTTATCATACTACGTCTCGTCTATTGCAATGCCCCTTATGGTGGGCTCACAAATTCTTCCTACTCTCAGTCGGCTCCAAGTGCACCAAATGATCCATCTTCATTTCAGTTGATTAATGCCTAAATAATCTTGCTTTCTCATACCTCTCCTATCTGCTTCAGCCTGGAATTCCTTCATGGGCTCTTAGCTGACCAGTAGCTGGTGGTCCCAAAAACTAGGCTGAAAATCAGAGAGGAGCCATGACTCCCGGACTTTGAAGCAAGTGTCTTTGAAATATTAGATGGGGAGATTCACTTCCTTTTTTAAAATGTTGTAATAAACAAAACTAAACAAACAAAGATGACTTAGCAATGCTGAGATAATGTACTTTTTAATGTTTCTGTTTCAATATGTGTTTTTTATCTATTTGGTAATCCTTTACATCTGTTGTTATTTTTGTTTGTCTTGTTTTAAATTCTTGTTTACAATTTATTAATGAACAACACTTTTTTAAAACTTGTTTTTTAATGTCATTAGCAAATAAATTGGAAGATTTTTGTGATATTATTAATAGCAATACATTTTTGCAGATTCTCAGTAAAATAAAGAGTGGCATATTCCAACTGTCCTACCGAGGACAAACAATGTCCAGAATAGCAAAAGAATAATAAAAGGTTATTTCATCTTACTATTCTTTCCCTCCCCTACTCCTGTTGATCCTCTTAAGGTGGAAAATAAAATCATGGCTCACCTGAAAATGGTCACTTCTGATGCTGATTCATTTTCAGGACAAGTCTGGAAAAACACAATGAAGTTAAAAATCAGCATAAACATCATTTGAATTTTCTAAAAGAAGATAACTGAATAAAAATGACAACAAGACCTCTGTGGTAAATGCATGGTTGTTGTAGAACCTGTCTTCAAGTCTGGCAGCCCACTCAGCAGGGTCTGTGCCACTCTCTACAGCAAAACAAAGCAGACAACTATTTAATCACCACTCAGCGTCATTTGTAGTATTTTTTGTGTTAACAGCTGGATTTACCGTCTCGTTTTTTGAGAAGAGCGTCGAAATATTTCGCAGCGTACGCAGGGATGTCGTCGGGCTGGTCTCGCAGGACCTCCCGGGCCAGACCTTCTAAAACGGCACCGAAGCCTCGAGGGACCCGCAGGTGAGTGTTTGAAAAAGGCACTGCCATGTTGTAGGAAAGTTTCTTCACGCTGCAACACGAACAAGTTAGCGCATTCCTCCCTTTTATTTTTTTATAACAAGAACAGCCAAGCTAATATTAAAAACTTTCTAAATGTTGTGACGTTTTCTGTATGTGGCTTCCTAAACTAGTGAAATCTTTACTTTTTAAGATTCAGAAAATGTCCTAACAAAATATTTCAGCAGTACCTGTTACCTGAAAGTCTTAACAGTCGACATTTAGCTACTTTTAAACTCTGGACGATAGCTAGCAAAGGTAAATCGTTGTTGGTGTCTGTTTCTAAGCAACCGTGTTGAATACGGGTAGCCAGTAGGGTCGTACACAAAAAAAAAAACTCGCAAGGAAAAACACGTCTTAATTCACGTAAATGTTTATTTTACACCGTTTTACACACAGCACACAAACAAACAATCAGACATTACTGACGTTTTGAATCAAGATAAAATGTAAATAATAGACTTAAAAACATGAGGTTGCTTCACTCAGAAATCAGGCATAAGTGATGACTGCATACTCGGAGTTGGAGCTCATCTTGCGGCTGACCTCTCTGGGCTGGGGGATGTTTAGTCTGTCAGCTGAACGAGAGGCCTGAAGGGCAGATCTGGGTGTATCTCCTCTCCACTGGATATGAAATAGAGATTAACACACTGATGTTGCAAACTGAACCAAGATCTGCAAGATTTCTCATGATCCTAGATAACAAGATCACTCTTAAGATTACAGGACACATAACATAATAATTTTATAACATTTCCATGCAACATTGAAATGCATTGCCTGCTGCTGTGTGATCTACCAAAAACTATGGAATGGGAAACTACATTTTTGCATTTACACAAGACACCTTGCCATTATTATTGTAGACATTGTCATGTTTTGTTGCAACTTTTCCAGGCAAATTTTCTTTTGTTTGTTTTGATTTTTTTTTTTTTGCAAAGACCTTGCAAAGGCCAAATCTCTGAAATATTCTAAGTCTGTAGTCCAGATTTACTAAAAATCTTATGCAAAAAAATGCAACAAAGAAGGCCTAAATCGCTTCATAAAAGTAGTTAAATGCAATCTATTTAGCTAATCTAATATAGTCCTTATGAAACGTAAAGACTAGTAAAAATCCTGTGAAATGTAAACAAGTAGCTGTTTTTATTTATGCAGATATATGGACTGCATACAACTGTGTTAAAAAGACAAACACGTTAACTCAGGTATTTCTGTTTTAGATAGAATTAAAAGTGTCATATTAAAAGAAATAAAGTTTCTCATAGAAGAGATACTGATTTGTTGGTTGTCATACCTCTCCAGTTGCCAAGTAGCCAACCTGAGTCAGCTCAGGTGTGCTGACCCCTCGGACGGTGATCATGATGTCAGCATACGGAACCTCAGTGTCGCTCTCATAATCTGGGAAGAAAAATAATTTTTCAGGTAACTGTGAGTGTTTTATTGTAATCTGTGATTCTTTGCTGGTTATTCTGGGGGTTCATCATACCGGGTTGAGGAATTCGCAAAGTTACTTTTTCACTTTGTGCTGACAATGTCCCTGGAAAATATAACAAGTGTGAACGGCAGCGATACATTTTTGGAATGATTGTTATTTTTGTACTTTTTATTTTTCATACAAAATACCTTTCACCGGTAGAAAGATGGCATGTTTTGATTGTGGTGAGCTGTAATTGTTAAGAAAAAAGTATTCACTGTTTCCAAAACACAGATGTTAATTAAAAGTAATTATGCAGATTTTATTTCCAATTGAACTGACCATGAGCTGGATGTAATGGGCTCTCCTAAAAAAAAAAATCACAACTTTTAAAAAATAATAGCTTATTTACATCAAAGCACCAATTTAAAAACATGTTTTTAAATTGTTCTAATTAAGAAATTAATCTATTTTTATTGCAGATGTGTTTCATTAGTATACTATAAAATAATCACCTTTACCATTGCAGTTCTGCCTGTTCCGGTTCACACACAAGTAGATTGCCAAAGCTGCAAGAACCACGGCCACCATAACAGTTACCGATGCCAAAACTTTAATTCCTGTAAACACATGGCCATATGGATCGTGAATATAAGCCAATATTTCAATCCTTCACACAAATGTATATATTCATAATTTTTATTTGTTGTAACTGCCACCTCACCTTCATTTTGATCCCCTGGTTCAGCAGAAAGTGATGCTAAAACTCAGAGTTAGTAACTAATTAAATAAGAGTAAAAAGTAAAATAAAATAAAAAAAACTGTTTCTCACCATTTTTAGTTTCAGTCTTTGGGGCAGCTATGGACGTTGGGGCCATTTTGGGGACTGTAAAATACAATATAAGTTCACTCCATCTTTTTCTAAAGAACTTCTTGAGATCACTGGATTTCGATACTCATGTTTATTTACCAATAAAAATGGACACAGAGCGCACTATCTTCTGGGGAAGCTGAGGATTCTCTGTGTCCTCGGTGTAACATGTATAGTTCTCTTTTACACCTTCAGTTGACACGTTGGATAGAGTGAGAGACACAGTGCAAAGGTCACCAGTCCTGCTTCCATTATGGCGACGAGGGGCATCTGAGGCTTTTTTCCAGTGGCCACGAATAAATCCAGAGGAGCAGTTGTAGGTGCAGCTCAATGTGAGATTGGCGCCCAGCTCCACGGGCAACAAATCCACAACTGTCTTTGTTTCAGCAGAACTCACAAAATCTGCATAAAGAAGAAAAATATTTTATTCAGTCTAAACACGACTTCACATTTTGTCTAGGCTCTAAATTTACCTTGTGCTGCACAGAAGAGCATGCAGAAACAGACTGAGGCCCTCATTGCTGGTCCCTGTTTCGTTTCTGTTTCTTTTGCGCCTTTTAGCATGCAGTAAACTATTGTGAGTTCTTACAGTTTGGTTCTGTTTGCACCTGCACCAAAACACTGTGGCACCCACATGAATATTCTCTGCCTTGGTAGAGGAAGTGGTTTTGAGAAGGATTCAGAGGTGTGTAAAACAAGTAATTCACAACTTTCCATGTATAGCAACTGACTTCCTGCGGAGCAAATTTCTGTTGCAAATGAATGGGGAAATATAGATTGGAACATGATGATTTGTTAATAACTGATTTTGTAGATAAAAGCTAAGTATGCATTTTTTATGTGCTTGTGCATGCATTTTTACACCTGGCATGAAACGGGCCAAAAACTGTATTAATGCCACCTCCAAAGTCTGCAGATTCTGCGCTGCAGCTTATTTTCCACTCCAACAAATAATGTTAACGTTTTTTATATGCATTCACAGTTGATTTTATAATCATCTCCTTGAGAAAACAAATCATGCCTTTAGTAAAGAGGAATTACCATCAACTGTCTTCAGAAACAAAGCAGGTTTTCATCTGTTTTCAAGCAGTAAACCATGCATTATTGCTTAAGTCACCTGTGCTTGGGCAGGATTGCAGTGATCTACTAACAGAGGCAGGCGACATCCATGCAAGCGCCAGAACTTGCTCATGCATTATGAAAGTCACAGATACAGTTACAGAACCTAATTGCACATCACTGTCAACTTGAGTCACCACCAGGGAATCACATTTCAGGTTTTTCACTTTCAGGCTAAGGGACTCTCACTTACTTGGCTCTAAACATTTATCCAAGCAGGCTTACACCAAAGCAGCCTGAAATGTACAAAAACTTTAACTTACTTGTGCACTTGATTAGACTTCCAATAGGAGAGATGCATTTGCTCTGGTTTGTAGCTTCAGGAATTTGTCTGCTACTGACACATTCTGGAATCGCTGCAGGTAGGAACAAAAACGTACTTTTTTCCTTTATAAGATGCATTCTTTGACTTATTGTTTTAGAATCCTCAGAGGGAAGTGCAGACCTCTTTCTCAATCCGGACTCAGACTTTGATCAGTGTGCTGAAGGAAAATACTTCACTCAGAGGCTTTGCCTGGATTGTCCTTCTGGCCACTTGTAAGTCATTATGTATGTTTTTGCCCTATGGGCAACTGAAATACTCTGTAAACATGAATAATACCAAAAGAAAACACTGATTTGCTTATGGAGTAATGTGTTAGATTTTGAAATAAAATGTACTTGAATGACATTTAAATTGTCAATAACATGTTTCCCCTACATAGTTGCCTTGGTAACACATCTGCACCTACAAGATGCCCGGCAGGGACATTCAACCTCTACACAGGGAAAAGCAGTATCACTGACTGTAAGGTAAAGCGCACCTGCGGAGAAAAGAGCCATATTCTGCTTGCCGTGGCGTGGTTTTAAAAGTCAGAAAAATTAAACATTTTACTTTTAACCGAAAAGCAGCACATTTAATCCACGATCAACATCTTAAATTTACACATGTAGACACAGGTTTAGATTGTAAAAGATAAAATAAAGAACAACATTTTTTCCAGGAGTGTATTAGTACAGTGAAATGACTAATGATCATATATATTCTGTTTGTGCCTGTATTTATTCAGGACTGGTTCTTTTATGTTACAGCTTTGTTTTCCTGGTCTGATCAGTTCAGAAGACAGAGTGGACTGTAGGCTGTGTCCTGCAGGCTTTTCATGTGATCCAAGCAATGGATCGATGCATCTATGCCCTGCAGGACAACACTCTCCTGAAGGAGTCCTACAGTGTTTGACTTGCCCTTTTGACTCTGTCTGCATGTCTGGGTTCCCGTATAAGGTCAAAATTATTATATATTTAAAACAAAATAAATAAAACATTGTACAATCCACACCATATGATTTTATTCTGGATGTTTATAGTGTGAACCTGGAAAGGAGCCCGGTGTCGATCACACTGAATGTAAAGATTGTCCACCGGGTTTCTACTCTACAGTTTGTACTGTTCAGTGTCTGCAGTGCCCAGCAGGTAAAGTTGCTATTAAACGCGAATTCTGTATCTGAAGTGTTCCTCAAAGTTTAACAGTGCATCTTCAATCTGCCGTAGGAAGTTACTGTCCAGACAGTGGGATGTCACAGCCTCTCATCTGTCCCCCTGGTTGGTCCTCCACACCTGGACAGACTTACTGCCACAGCTGCAATAACACATCCACACAATGTGGAGGAGCTGTGGTGCCTCGCTGGAGCCACTCGGGCCAAAGATCTGTTCATCCCATTACCTGTCGCCCAGGAATGTATAGAAATATGAAAGACTCAGCTTGCATTGTCTGTCCAAATGGTTAGCGTTCACTTCATGTTTCATTTCCTCATTAATGATTTATTTGTTGAGACATGCTTGTTGATATTCCAGGTCATTACTGTGTGGGAGGTGTAGCATTATCCTGTCCTGCAGGGACGTATGGTGCCAAAGAAGGACTGCAGAGACTGAAAGATTGCACAATCTGCCCTGCAGGTAGAGACATTATTAACATCAAACTTTATGTTTAAAATCACTCATCTGCTGTTTTTCAAGCATATTAGGTTGTGTGGAAGCATTGTTTGGCAACATCTCATCATTATATGTTGCTAACTGTTCCTCTCGTCTATAAATACTTTTCTCCAGGGTATTACTGTCTAGAAGGCAGCTCACAGAGGCCCACCTCCCAGTTCTTGTGCTCACTGGGCTATTACTGTGAGGAGGGCACCGCCACTCCTCATGGGTCACCTTGTCCTGCTGGTACAGCAGGGGAACAACTGGGCCAGACAAGTAGGGCAGCCTGTAAGAGATGCAGAGAGGGACGCTTCTGTCCTACAGGTAAGTCTTTGCACTGATACTGTCACAACCAGCATAGTGGCCTAGTGGTAGAGTGGCGTTAGATCTGGGAAATCGAAGTTCAAATCCCAGTTGGGTCATATCAAAGACTTTATAAAAATGGGACCCGTTACCTCCCCGCTTGACCCTTAGCTCTAAAGCCCCATTCCCACCTGTACCGGGTCGGCCCGGGCCGGGTAGCCCCAGTCGGCCCCAGCCTGGCCCGGTTGATTCCACACATCCTTGCCTTAAGCCCATGTGGGCTGATTCTACCCACCAATCAGAGGCTTGCTCTAATGGAAGGTGTGAATGGGCTGATTCTACCCACCAATCAGAGGCTTGCTCTAATGGAAGGTGTGAATTTGCTGTCAGCAGTGGGCGTGTTGGCCCTGGTCGGCCTGAAGCAGTACCCCTCGGGAAGAGGGCCGAGAATGAGCCTTGGTTGGCCCGGGAAAATTCCAGGCCACCCAGATATGTAAACAACCTATGCTACCCGGCCCGGGCCGACCCGGTACAGGTGGGAATGGGGCTTAAGAGGTTGGATTGGGGGGTTAAACCACCCAGTAGTTCTTTCCGTGTCTGCAGCTCACCGCCACCCACAAGGATGGGTCAAATGCAGAGCACAATTTTCACCACACCAGTGTGTGGGACAATTATGATACTTTAATCTTTAATCAGTTCACTGGAGCAAAAACAACCTGAAACAGCTGAATGTGTCCCAGAATGTAACTAACAGGAGGTACTGTGACTTTGCTCTTTATGTTCCTCACCAGTCTAAATTCTGGAGACATTTTGAATGACTCCATGTGTCTAAACCTTTGATTCAGGATCATCAGGCCCCGGCCTGCCCTGTGCACGAGGAAGGTTCTGCCCCGCCGGCACCTTGGAGGAAGTGACGTGTCCTTCAGGAACCTTCACCCCTCATCAAGGGGCAATAAGTGGGTTCACACAATGTACTTCTTAACTTTTCTTACAATTTCCATTTGACTTATTTTTGATTCATATTGGGTTATTGTTGCTGGGAAAGGTGTGAAGAAGTGACAGTTGTATGATTTTTTGTTATAAAGTTTAGTTATTTTGTTTAAAAAATGTTTTTAATTGTGTTCTTTTCAAAAATTTAAAATCCAGAATTTTCCCTGTAATGAATATTACAGTTAGATACTCATTTTGTAGTCCTGTGGGTTTGCAAAGCTCATTAAAACTAATATGATGCCATAAAAATCCATCAGAGCAAAAGGTCAGTGTTTGCTCCTCATACAGATGAGACAATGCAACAGGTGGGTGCACAAGAGAGCAAACAGAAAAAAAATCTAATTAAAAATAAAATAATCAGTCGATAGAAAGCCAGATAAGTGATTTTTTAAATAGACCAAATGATGGATTACAGAAATTAGCTACATTTTCAAATACTACCTAATTATTGCAGCTTAAGATGACATTTTATTCTGTTTAAATATCATTCATTTGCTTTCCAGGTGTAAAAGATTGTCTCAAATGCCCCACTGGATTTTACTGTCCTGAGGGGACAAGTGACCCAGTGCCCTGTCCACCAGGCTCTTTCAACCCTTTAGAAGGTCAGGATGAGTTGGCTGATTGCAGAGAGTGTCATGCAGGAAAGGCCTGCACACAGATAGCTCTGCGATCCCCTGATGTGGACTGCATGCAGGGGTAAATACCCGTCTGAGAACCAAGACAATATTCCTAATCCAACATGCTTTAGCACGTCTAGGCGATGCAAAAGATCACTGAAGCTTTTTAAACATTGTTTTGCATCAAATCCTGCTCTGTTTGTGTTGCTCTATTTCTAAGACTAGTTTGTCTGAATCTACACAGATTTGTGTGTCCTCCTGGTTCCTCCAAGCCAAATTCACCAGCCAACGCCTGCCCACCGGGGACGTTTAGCAATCGCACCAACCTTACTGACCGCTCACAGTGTCAACAGTGTCCTGCTCGATTCGCCTGTCTAAGGGGTGAGATTCCTCCATCAAACGGGTCCAACTTTATGATTCAAACCTATGCAGATCTGTTTTTTCTCTTTGCATTCTTCTGTAGAATCTTGAAACAAAACAAAAGTGTTTTTTGTACAAATATTTGGATTTATTTGCTGAAATGTGAAGTTTTTGGGTCAGTGCCCCTTAATGATTCATTATGTCTGTTACTAAAATGTTTTATTGTAGTGGTAACTAATATCTGCTCAACCAGGAACTGGTGGTATCCAAAGACCACCACTTTCTTGTTTTGCTGGACATTATTGTCCAGTTGGAACCATGTTTCCTACCCAGTACAAGTGTCCCGTGGGGACTTGGAGCAGTCAGAGTGGACTGGAGGCAGAAGGAGAGTGTCAGCAGTGCCCACGGGGATGGTACTGTTTGGCCGGGTCTGCAGCTCCAACAGGTCGATGCAACTCTGGACACTACTGTCCTGAAGGTAAACACAGGTTTAAACGTAACATCTAATATCCAAAAGAAAATGGTGCATGCATTTGCACAGCCCTTCAGGTGAAATGGATTTTTTTTCTTGAGTTGTAATCATGATTCATTCATGTGAATATAACTAAATGGATGTCGCCTCAACAGGGACTGCATATGGCACCCAGTTTCCTTGCCCTGCAGGCACCTACAGCATCCAAATGGGCAACAGATTCAAAGAAGACTGCTTGATTTGTCTTGAAGGCTCATTCTGTCAACCAGGGACCTCTAAACCTTCGCCCTGTCCCCCGTAAGAAAAGTATCAGAAAGAAATTGTTGATAAGAGATTGTGAAGATATTTTGTATCATTAGTGTAGATCTCCATTCTGTCCTACGTAGTTCTACATTTCGGCACCTAAAAGGAGGTCAAAGGCCAGAGGACTGCTCTCCTTGCCCTGCTGGCTATTTTTGTCCCCACTCAGCCACCATCAACCCCAGAGTGTGCGGAGCTGGCAGCTACTCGGTAAGATCCCATCTAACAGTGTGACTGGACAACTGACAGACCCAATGGAAACCAAAAGCCGGTGTATTCTGATTGTCCTATTTTTACATTCCATTTCCCACCCACGTGCAATCGTCTTACATTACTCACCTAGAGCTTACATCTGTAAATGTCAGCAAGAAAAATAGCTTAGTGCTTTAGAGTTTTTCATGGTTTTTGCTCCTCTCAAATTGTTGCAGCATCACCATTCCAGCACTTTCCAGGTTAAACCTTCCCTTTTCTTGACTTGTCAGTACTTTCTTATTTTTGCAGCATCCCTCCCCCATGCCAGTTGTTATCTTTAACTTCAACTCCCTGGATCTTTCTCCACTTTCTCCTGTGTGTAGGACGAGGGCTCGGTGGAGTGCTCTCCATGCCTGCAGGGCCACTACTGCAGTGAAGAGACCACCAGCGAGGAGGCCATGTTGAGCATCATGGTGTGCCCTCCTGGTTTCCTCTGCTCTCAGGGTTTAGCCCGTGACCCCCAGCGTTCAGCCACGCTCTGTCCTCGAGGTTTTTACTGCCCTGGGGGAAGCATTGTGAGTCAGAAGCTGAATGAATTGTTTAAATAAATACATAAATTAATATGTGAATGTAATCTGCAAATGCTCTATTTAAAGAACCCCAACCCAATTCCTTGTCCCAATGGGACATACGGTGACTCTCCTGGTCTGCGTGATGAATCAGAGTGTAACCAGTGTCCTGAGGGGAAGTACTGTTATTCCCAGCAAGCACAGGAGCAGCCTATTACCAGACCTGTAAGAATAAATCTCATTTAAAGTGACAAAATATGTGTAAGTCATTTGCTGAAATATGCAATTTTGTGAAAAAAAAAATTACGTAACCTTTTGTAAAAACATATAACTTAATTCTTAAGACAGGGCAATGTCCTGATGGGCACCATTGCCCCCCAGGGACTGGCAACCCGTACACCTATCCCTGTCAGGCTGGGAGATACAGAAGCAATTCTTTGGGTCACAGCGGAGAGGCGTGTGTTTTGTGTCCAGCCAGGCATCACTGCAGTAGAGCAGGAACCCACACACCGTTACTCTGCCCTCAGGTAGATTTTTCATTTTCGCAGATAAGAATATGTGACCTATGACTGCCCTAGCAAATTAAAAAAAGTGAATATTAGACTGTCTCCTAATCTACTGTTCTATTCAGGGATTTTACTGTCCAGAGGCTACATCTACTCCCAAACCTTGTCCGGAGGGAACCTACGGCTCACGCTCTGCTCTCAGTGACCTCTCAGAGTGCACCCCTTGTGGTGGAGGCCAGTATTGCACTGGTGTGGGACTTATAGAGCCTTCTGGAAGCTGCCAAAAGCGCTTCTACTGCAGAATGGGAGCCAAATCTGCAGTATGATAGTTATTTATGTTGAAAAATCTCTAGAAATGTTAAATAATTACTTCATACTTTTATTTTGTTAATATTTTATAATATTTAGAGTCTCAAAATTGAACACTTGCTTCTCTTTACATTCTGCCTTGATTTTTATCTAGACCCCAGTAGACGGGCCGACTGGAGGTTTATGCCCACCAGGAAGTTACTGCCCTGAGGCTTCCATCTCTCCCCTCCCCTGTCCCGCGGGTACTTTCAGTGACAGCACAGGCCTTGGCAGCCCAGAGGAGTGTGTTAGCTGTCCACCTGGGTAATCTCACTCATACCGACTCTCCTTTCTGCTTTGCAAAGTGATGACTCAGATATCAACTGACTGGACGGTCTTACAGTTCCGCCTTCACTCTGTGAGTCATCAGCTCTCTTTCTGTCAGGTTTTACTGCTCAGGTTCCAATAACACCTCACCTACAGGACCTTGTTTTCCTGGTTTCTACTGCACCGGCGGCTCAGCCTCACCTGTTCAGAATGAAGCTCAGGAGGGTTACTACTGTTCTAAGGGAGCAGCCAGGGCAGAACCATGTCCTCTTGGCTCTTTTCAGCCGGTAGGAAGTGATCCATCCAGCTCTTAAAGCGTGTTGTTAAAATATTAAAGTTATTCTCACCTGAAAATTCCCCCACAGCACGTACGTGCAGGGCTGTGCGTGGAGTGTCAGGCAGGCAGATTGTGCAACCAGACGGGTTTGTCCCAACCATCTCCATGTCCTACAGGACACTACTGTCCTCCAGGCTCCTCTGCTCCTCGCCCCTGTCCTGCAGTCAGTATTTTTATGTTACTCTATGACTGTTTACTAAATTTGTCTTCATAAATGTCATTTATTATCACTTTACCATCTGTATGCATAAATCTGGAGGTGAGGATCATTAAAACCTCCACCTTCTTTAACCACGCTCCATAACTCTAGCGAGATAAAATATCTTTTACTTCCTGCTGCCATCATCTCTGCAACATCAATCTCTGAGCAGAGGCCTTAACGCTGGTTATCTCATTCCTGCAACAGCTATTATTTTCACACTCTGTACAAGATCTATTATCTCTTGCATTCCACTTCAACAATGTTAAAGATGAATATCTGATTATTTAGGGCTTTTACTCCGACCAGCTCAACGGAGAGGCTGTGCAGCACTGTCGACCATGTGAGGCAGGCTGGTTCTGTGGCAGAGCCGGCCTTGTTAAACCTCAAGGTCTCTGTGACCCGGGACACTTCTGCACCTCTGGAGCCGCCACCAGCTCCCCTGTAAGTCCTAGTAAAACAACTTAAATATTTTCTCTACAGAGTGGAACATGTTCAAGTAAGAAAAAAAAAACAGTTTGACTTTTAAAATGAAGCCACACATCTTCATTTGAGCTGTTTACAATGCACATTTCCTAATTAAAATGGAAGATTTGTCAGCTCCGTGTTCATTTTTATGCATACAGTTTAGTTTTTCTCAAGCGAGGCAGTTTGTCGGCATGGTGCTGTGCATGCGCGGGGGAGGGAGCACAACAAGGAAAAACAGGGTAATTAACGAGGTACGAATGTCCTGGTTTTCGAGCTCAGTGTAGCTGATTTGACGGCAGCTGTTTATTCCTCACATATGGCGCCTTTCCTGTTCTGTCATTTGACACGAATCTAGATTTGGAAGGAGGTTTTGTTGCTATATGTTAGTTTAGATGGATTATTAAAGCTTGCTTTTTTTGGTGAGCATTTGATGTGTAGGAACTTAATGGCAGCTTAAACCGCCCACAACTTCAACCTTTAAATGTCTAGGATAATCTAAATGAAGCCAGAATGAAAATAAAAAAAAAATCTATCAAATTCTGAAGTCAGAGAAGATCTCTGACAGCCTGCAGATGATGCCTTTACTGAAGTTTGTCCTTAGAAATGATTTTGCAATCATCGTGAAAATAGCTATTGATAGGTTTATTGTACTCCTGCAGGTTGCTGTAGCTTCTGGAGATGTGTGCCCTGCTGGTTACGTCTGTCCTCGAGGGACCAAGTACTCACAGCAGCACCCTTGTCCTGTGGGAACCTGGAGTAGCTCTGTGGGAGCCCAGAACCTGTCCTCCTGTTGGCCCTGTCCCCCTGGACTCTACTGCAACAGCAGTGGTCTCACCCACCCGTCAGGACCATGTGAAAAAGGTGTTGTTATGACCTTTTTGTTTTGGCACCAGTCGGATTTGGATTAATATTCTTAATGTGTTTTGTAAGACAACAAATAAACTAATAAATCGTTGCCCTGTTCTTCATCCTTACATTATTCTCTGTGTCTGTATACTCCATGGGTGTACAGTTAAAGGGAGAGAAAATAAAATATATGAATAGATAACATTTGTTTGAAGTTATTTTATTTTAGTCTAATGTTTACTTTCTCTCAATTATAGGCTACTACTGTTCAGGAGGATCGATGTTTTCAAAGCCCTCAGATGAATCGACAGGAGACATTTGTCCAACTGGACACTATTGTCCCATGGGCTCGGCTTTTCCTATACCCTGCCCTGATGGGACATACTCAAACACAACAGGTACAAACATTTAAATGAGATCAAATGTAGAAAATATGAAAATTGAACCTTTTTTAAAGGTTACTTTCTATTTATGGCTAAAGGGGCAGACGCTTGCGATGACTGCCCCTCAGGGACCTATTGTCTCTCAGGAGAGGGTGTCCAGGCCTGTCCAGTAGGTCACTACTGTCTTGGCAGCGGCGTTGAGGGGATTTTGCCCTGCCCGCCCGGCTCATACAGCCCCCAGCTCGGTCTCAGTCAGGTGGAGCAGTGCCTCATTTGTCCAGCAGGTGAGAGCATTGTTACACCGTTTTTTTATCCATCTGGAGGACGTTTGGTATTCTGCTCATCAAACATGTTACTGAACTATATTTTCATTTATTGAATTATAACTAATTGACACTATTGAAACTAAGCGATCTAAATGCAATAGTTTGAAGTTCAATCATATTTAATGATCTAATTAGGAATCTATTATGTGATGAGTGTTGGTTAGAGCCACTCATGATCTTTTCTGCAGGTTTCTACTGTGATGACTGGGGTCTCTTTGAACCTACTGGACTCTGTCAGGCTGGATATTACTGTATAGCAGGTATACCACATTAAATATGTGAATAATGGGAATCTGATGACTAAATGTATTAAAAATCCTAATTTTTTTGAAGGTGTAAACTTTGAGAATCCCGATGGTAACTTCAGCACAGGAATAGGAGGAGTGTGTCCACAAGGGAGGTACTGTCCTGAGGGAACCAGCATCCCTCTTCTCTGTCCACCTGGGACCTACTCGGACAGGTTGCTAAGCCAAAACATTGGTCCCATCATTCCTCCAAGTAGCCTCAGATGATTTCCGTGCATGTGATCAGTGGTTTTATTCTTGTAGTCTATTCCTGATGGATGCCTCTGGCTGTAGTCCATGTCCGGCGGGTCAATTTTGTGCTGGCACAGGTCTTGTGAGTCCATCTGGTCGTTGTCAGGCAGGATCCTATTGTCCAGGTGGAGACACAGCAAGCACAGGTAGAAATCCACAATGCTGATTTGTCAGTGGCAACAATGACTGTTCTTCATTTAAATGTTTTAGATTGAAATAAAAAAAAAGGTAGCAGGATTTATGAGTGATGTGTGAATAGAAATCAAATGAATTTGCTTATCCAGAGGAGAATCGGTGGCTGATAAATGCAGGACGCTCTAATGTGTGAGTGCGTCTGATTGAATGAATGATTACTGAATTAATCATCTGCCGCTAACAAGATTCATCACATTAAAAGCAAACACAGTGATAATTTCAGTGTTCTAACACATTTAATTGAATTTTCGCTCCAGGCTCAGAAGGAGGACTTTGCCCAACAAGCCATTACTGCCCTGAGGCGAGTGCCAGCCCAATGCCCTGCCTAGCTGGAACCTACACCAACCTGACAGGTCAGCCTGCGTGTTCCCGCTGCCCTGCAGGATATTACTGTCCAGAAAAGACTGGGGATTTCACCGAGTTCCCCTGTCCCCCTGGATTCTACTGTCCCGATGGTACTGTCATCAACGAGCACAATCCGTGTGCATATTTATTTAGTATTTACATTTTTTTAAACTCTTGTAAAGATCCTGCAGCAAAGGAGACTATCTTAACTCCTCAAGTTGTGCAGCATATAGGTCAAATGTTGAATTTTAAACCTCACATGGCACGCTGCTCTCATCTAAATTGCAATTGTATTATATGCACAGGAACTAAGCATGCCACCCAGTTCCCTTGTCCTCGAGGATACTACAACCCAGAGCCCATGACTCAGAGCCTGGACAGCTGCCTGCCTTGTCCTCCAGGACACTACTGCGAGAAAGAACGTCTGACCAGCGTGTCTGGAAAATGCAAGGCTGGTGGGTAACGGTGTCTTTGCTCATTTCTTCCAAGCGTATAGTCACAGTCAGCCTAGTTTTCCAGTGTCAGGACTGTGTCCTTTATGCCAGCCTGTTTGGCTTCAGGGTGCCGGCAAACCGGTCCAAAGCAGTCTGGAAGACTCCAAGGAAGGAAACAAAGAATGCACTCGAGGCACGGAAAGCCAGAACTCTACTCCAGCAGCATTTGTGCAACAACAGCTGCCTTTAAATAATTCTCCATATATCATTTATTTATAGATAAAGTTGCAAAAGAGCCTAGTCCTATAAGTAAGTCATGTCTTGCTCGGAAGTCTCAGACCGAAACTGAAAGCACACCTGAGTGTCTGGTTTAATAGACCCATTCTTTCCTCATCTGTGACTCTCTCTTTCACTTTGCTTTGTTTTTCCGTTTTCCTAAAATGTGGAATTTCTTGTTTTCAACCTCTTTGAGGAAGTTATGTGATTTTTGCATTGCAGGCTGGTTCTGTGTCTCTGCAGCTTGGAACTCTCAGCCCTTTGACCTTGACAATTACACAAATGCCAACTGTCTGTGCCCAGCTACCTCCACAGGGGGGCGCTGCCAGGCGGGATTTTACTGTCCTTTGGGTAGCTCAGAGCCCATTCCATGTCCACCGGGAACTTTCTGCAACACATCAGGTATGAAGATAATGATGTATACACAGCAATGCATTAAGTTCACCAATTATGATAAGTTAAATATTTAAACTTGTTTTCATTCAAACATAGAGTTTAACTTAGTTGTGTAAAATGTAACTTTAATTTTGGTTTGAATGCTTTTTTTTTTCAAAATAGCAAAAAACATAATGCTGGATTTTACGCCAGAAACACATGAAATGGTTCGGCAAGGTCATGTTGACTGCTGTGTTGCCTCACCTTGTCGTTTGATAATGCTCTCGGTTTGAGAACTAAAGAAACCAACTTCTGTTGCTTTGAAAATAAATTGTTTTCCAGTTCTTGCCATAGCCCTCCAGCTGCTCAGCAGATTTCCTTTAATGTGAAATTTATTTATTCTTCTTTTAGCAGTTGGTGGCAGCTTATCCTGCAAGCAGGAACAACTACATTCACTGGCCACTTTATTGGGTACACCTTGCTAGTACCGCGTTGGACCCCTTTTTGCCTTCAGAACTACCTTAACCATTCATGGCATAGATTCAACAAGGTGCTGGAAACATTCCTCAGAGATTTAGGTTCATATTGACGTGATAGCATCACGCAGTTGCTGCTGATTTGTCGGCTCCACATCCATTATGTGAATCTCTTGTTCTACCACAGAGATGCTCTATTGGATTAAGATCGGGTGACTGTGGAGGCCATTGGAGTGAACTCATTGTCATGTTCAAGAAGTCATTCTGAGATGATTCAAGCTTTATGATATGGTGCATTATCCTGCTGGAAGTATCCATCAAAAGATGGGTACACTGTGGTCATAAAGGGATGGACATGGTCAGCAACAATACCTACAGTAGGCCTAAAGTAGGCTGTGGTGTTGCAACCATGATCAGTTAGTACTAAGTGGCCCAAAGTGTGCCAAGAAAATGTCCCCCACACCATCACACCACCACCACCATTCTGAACCGTTGATCCAAGGCAGGATGGATCCAAGTTTTCATGTTGTTGACACCAAATTCTGACCCTACCATCTGAATGTTTGCAGCAGAAATAGAGACTCATCAGACCAGGTGACATTTTTTCAATCTTCTATTGTCCAATCCAGTGCGTTCAGAGATGCTCTTCTGCATACCATGATTGTAAGAAGTGGTTACTTGAGCTACTGTTGTTTTTCTATCAGCTCGAACCAGTCTACACATTCTCCTCTGAAATATTCCGACCAGCCCATCTGGCACCAACAACTATGCCATGTTAAAAGTCACTTAAATCACCTTTTTTCCCCATTCTGAAGCTCAGTTTGAACTGCAGCGGATCGTCTTGACCATGTCAACATACCAACATGTCTTGAGTTGCCACCGTGTGATTGGCTGATTAGTCATTTGCGTTAACAAGCAGTTGGACAGGTGTACTTAATAAAGTGGCCAGTGAGTGCATACTCAGACTGCTTACAGTTTAAACATGGTATTTATTACCTCACGGACACAACCACTACACATTATTTTATAAGTATCTCACTTTTCTGCTCACCTCTTAGTTGACGGTTATATCTGCTTATCATCACTGGCCATGATCATTCACTAGATAGAAGACAAACAGACAGACGCAACCCTAGATGACTGGGATAAATGAACACCCCCCAGTGGCTGGTTTCAGTATTAAGTCTTAAGCTTCACCCACTTCCTGTAAATGAACAGAACATTCTTCTAAATAAAAATACACCTAATTTCTGTAGACTCCACATGAATAGAGTTTTATAATTTTGCTATTGGTTTGTTTTAGACATGTTGCTTTATGATGACATCTGGTGGATTACAAAGGCTGCATGTTGTTCCTGTGCACAAACAGTGTTGTCTGATAAAAGAAAAAGTACAATTGTCTTGCTGACATGACTCCAACATCCCATGACTCAGACATTGTCTGGAGGAAAGGATATGTTGTTCCTAAACTCATAGAAGTCATTCAGTATAAATTTAGCCTTCACAGGTGTGCTGCAATGTTTTGCCCCGTGCACAAATGCACCGTCATTCATCATAGAAACTGGCTTTTGAACAGTCCGCTGATAAGAAATCAGATGATCCTTCTGTCTTAGCCCAGAGAGCAAGGCTTTTGAGATTTCCAGGAAATGTTTTAAAGTTTTGATTCTACATGGCAGTTTTCCTGCTGTTATCCTCATCCATCTTTAATGAGCTCAAACAATTAAGAAATTGGCAGTTTTTGTCAATATTTATTATATTTGGTTATCTCTTGGGATAATATTCAAAAATAGTTGAACAGTACCTGAGTGTCCACCCAAATCCCTCTTTAACTTTGCTATGCCTCACCTACTTTTCAGCCAATTTACATAATTAGTTGTTTGAGAATTTTATTTTTATTTCTTTCTGTTGTACAAATTTGAGCTTTATTTGCTTTTAATTGTGAAATGTGTCACAGCTATATAAATGAAAATAGAAACAGTAAATCTTAGCATTACAACGTTATGTTCTATGATGAATGTTTTCAACCAATTCTAATTACTAATTTTACTAATTATAGAAGAAAAAATGATTAGTGCATTTCAAAATAAAAATCACAATTTAAAGGGTTAAAATAAATCGCAAACCATTATATTCTTTTTTACTTCAACACTTTATTTTTCAGGACTGATTTAAAAAAATTTTGATTTTTTTTTGTGCAAACAGTTTGAGCAGATGCAACATTTCTCTTGTAGACCTGATCATATTTTGCTGGAGGGGATATCTGTCTTCTGGGAACCCAGGCTTACTGGTATGGGTTATGTGATGTCAAAATAACAATGTGTTTATTATGTTGCTCAAAAAGGTCTAGCTTTGCCAGTGGGTCCTTGCTCTCCTGGGTATTACTGTATTGGAGGAGCCACCAGGTCCAGACCAACAGACGGAGAAACGGGCAGCATCTGTCCTCCTGGGACGTACTGTGGTGAGACCAGTTTTACTTGCTTTGCTTGCCAACTCAAACCTGTTGCAAGACTAATTTTTGGTTACCTATTATCGCCTTTCATAGGTAAATATATGCATTTGTTTGTTTGTTAGCAAAATAGCTCATTAATCACTTTTGAAACTCTTTTGGTAGTACTCAACTTGGAATCTAGAGGCCGACCGATATGGGATTTTTAAGGTCGATACAGATTTTTGTTGTTTTGTTGTTTTTGTTGCTGATGGCCGATATCTAAAGCTGATTATTAAGGCCGATATATACACGTTTTAGCAGCACATTGATTGTGAAAGACAACTGAACACTCACTGTGTGAAATATAAATTAAATAAGTCAATACATCTCAATATTTATTGAACTTCAAATATAAAACAAACTCAAAACATTAACAATGTGCAAACTGTTTCAGAACAATGGCCCAATCCGCACTACGCCCAGCAGACTTCAGCAAAGTGCACTTGGCGAAAGTGTGCTTTAAGTCTTCAAGTGCGTAGTATACAAGTGTGCAAATAACTGCAGAATGGAAACAGGGAGCATTGCGTCATCTATCGCAACACATGCCGGCCGGGATGCTGGTCGCTGTGATACTTTTTCCAAATACCTTTATTAACAACTTTTTAACAAACAGCCTAACATTTATTTGAAATTAATTTACATTAATTGCTGCTTTGTCTAAAAGTTTTAGACTAATCATCCTAAAATTAACTAATTTCATTAGAAAATGCATATTTTTAGAAAAGGAACTTGAGCCGTTTCTCCTGCAGCAATGACTTGTGGGTAATTCCCTTGCCCGAGGTCCACATCGCTGCAGACTTGGGTGAAGTGCAGATTAAGGGTGCAATGGGGGCGTGGCCAACTTCCACACTTGAGAATTGAGACACCCTACGCACTCACACCCCTGGCCGAGAAGGCGCAATTGAAGGGCGCAAGGGTGCAAGTGCGAGTATTGGGATTAAGCCGTTGACTCATGGTGTGTTGGGGTTCTTTGGGTCATTTCTTCACTCTAGTAGTAGCAGCAGTTGGCCACACAGGTGCCTGATTTTTATTTAATAGTTTTTGTCGGCTTTTAAAAATAATTTCGGCCGATATAGAAAAATTGAATATATCGGCCCGATATATCGGTTGGCCTCAATTGGAATTGACCCCATTCAAGATGGCCACCAGAGCCAATCCGTATCATTAATCACAAAATGGGTAAACTGTCAGTTTAATAGATACTGAGCTACAATTTAATGTGTTAGTTGTTTCGAGCCATTCACAACACACACTTCAAGTGCAAACAGACTGAACAAGATTTTTCAATATTGAATGAGATGGTGATTCATTTTCAAGATTTAACCAAATCAGCTATATTTTCATCACATCTCAGTATAAAATGATTTTAGTTTAAGAATCTGGCACAACAGATGGTGGACGGTATGTAGTCGTTTAAGGAATTCTTGGCTTTTAAGAAAAGAAAAGCATGTGGTGAATAAAATTTACCTCAACTATTGAACGCAGTATGACAAACAACTGCCTTTCATCTCAACTACTTAATAATACATTATTGTACCACCCATGAAAAAAAAAGTGCCCTAATACTTGATCTGTTATGATAATAGTCTGTTACTGTACATTACCATGGAAGAAAAACAGAACATTATTCACAAGCAAACAAAAACAAACAGCTAACTTCATTTAATTCTTCTCCACATTCTAATATCTTTCTTCATAATCAAAGGACTACAACCTAAAATGAATTTGATTTGTTTCCATTACAAAATGGTTCCTCTGATTTACTGAAAAAAAGACTTTCATCACACAAGCATGTGCAGATGAACCTTTTCATGCATGAGCTATGACAACCTCCGTCCCAGGTATTTTTAATCATCTTTAAACAAGAACACAGTATTTAGAATTTAAGTTTTTCAATGTGAACCGTGAACATGTCCACTCGAGTGGATGGCATGCATTTTGAATTCAAAATGTTTTGCAGAGTCCAATGTGGTTGTCAGTGTTAAAATAGACCCCAAACACCCATGCATGAGTACAGCTCTTAAAACCCTGTCCTTTGTGGGGACCACTCTACATGGGAGGGTTAAGTAGAACAAATAACTATGACTCAGGTGGATAAAAGCATAAATCACCTCAGTGAGAGTCAGCTTTTTCCTATTTGTCTTAACCTTTTGAAAGTGTTTTGAACTGCAAAGGTTGTTTCTTTGTCACTCTGCTTTGTTGTTCTTTATATACGTTATTTTGCCCTCTATCGTGACCTTGCTGTTGCATTTGGTATGCTGAAAGGATAAATGAATAGAAGGTTGACTGATAGTCTTTTTCCACCCTGGTTCTGTGTGCAGCTGAGGGCTCAGGAGAGCCAGGGTTGTGTCCAGCTGGTACTTTCTCCCCAGTGTCCGGTCTGACTGATGATGCTGACTGTCAACCCTGTAGAGCAGGTTTCTACTGCAGAGAGGCAGGCCTCAGGACCCCGACTGGACCCTGTGGACAAGGTCAGTCCATGCTCTGCTTCGTGAGTCGCTCTGGTTGTAACATTTTGATAACGAATCTGTGATTCACACGATCTTTGTTATGTTTTTTTCTTGTTTATATCTTGTTGATTATAGGCTACTGGTGTCCTCCTGGTCAAAGTGTGGCAACAGCTCTCCCATGTCCATCTGGGCACTTTTGCTTAGAAGGAAGCCCGGTTCCTGAACCTTGTCCATCAGGAACATATCAGGACAGAGACAAACAGGCATCCTGCACTGTCTGTGAGCCTGGTAAGAATGCATTGTTCCTGTTTATTCTAGTGCATTTTAAAAGCTCAAAAATTAACTTATGTATAATTTACATTTGATACTTTCAAGTAGCGGCGATGATCATTTTAATTCCCTTCTTTCAAGGGTACTACTGTGATAGGAGATCAGGTCTGACCAACATTTCCCTGCCAAGGCCTTGTCCTAAAGGACACTACTGTCCTGCTGGGACTGCCCTACCCAACCAACACCCCTGTCCCATTGGCTCCTTCAACCCAAGAGAGGGCACAGACAGCCTATCTGGCTGCCTTCCATGTGCTGCTGGACGTTACTGTCCTTCTGTTGGACTGTCCGAGCCAGCAGGTAAGAAGAGCAGCAAGATCGCTTCCAACGTCCAAGATTCCAACATATTTTTTGTTTGTTCATTTTGTATGAACACTTCATTTGACAGGTTCAAGTTCAACACAAAGTTTCCTTGAGTTTCTTTAAACATTTAAATACACAATTAAAATCAGCACAGTTTTGATCATCAACCTTCAGGTTTGGATTTATAACATTCCATTAGAATAGGGACAATGCAAAAGCCAATCGTTTCAGGAGAGCTGTGAACTTTAGCAAGCTGTGAAGGTCTGATGTTATGTCACCCGCAGGACCGTGTCAAGCCGGTTATTTCTGCAAACTGGGAGCATCCTCTTCCAGCCCTCTGGATGGACTCTTTGGCTTCCTGTGTCCACTTGGTCACTACTGCCCCTCAGGTTACCTGCTTGTGTTTTGCTTGTGTTTTCTCCAAATTATACCTCAATAAATGAAAAGTGAATGAATGAATGAATGAATGAATGAAAGAATGAATGAATGAATGAAATCTTTATTTTGAACATTATAATAAGAATAAAAATAACTATTATAACAATAATAATAATAAGAATGTAATTGTAGACATTAAAAATAAAATCACAGTGATAATCACACAAAAATTAAATTATCATATTCTGTTCGAAAAGGAGTAGGAGGAAGCTAGTGCTTATTAAATCCTACCCCCCTTTTCCTTTTCCCATTTGTTCAAGATAAAAAGGAACAATGTCATTCTCCTAATTCATCATAAATTTTCTAACAATTTTCTATATTCTTCTATTGTCATACCTTTTCCATTTAACCACCACACACAGCGATTAACATTCCCTACTACACATAATTACAACACACCCCATTTTCTTTTGTACACTTACACCCTCACACTACTCATTAGATCTTTTTGAGTCAAAATCCCTCTTCCTCCCTGTACCTCATGAAGACCATATTTTTGTACCACTTTCAAATTGGGTCATACTTGGATCAGCATCCAGGGGTTCTTGTTTTTTAGGATGGTGGTTTATTTGTAAACTAATGCTCAAGATGCATAATTTTTAGGCTAATGTATCCAGATTTAAACAGATATAGGTTATTATCATTTTGACCCATTTTACTGTGTGGTTATTGTGTTTTTTACATGGTAATTTGAAGATCTATGGCAAGTTCTGACTACATACATCATGTATGTTTTTTGTTCAACTGTTAAGTAATATTCATACTTGTCCTCTTTCAGTTGGCTGACAGCAGACTGCCGTTAGCAATCACTTTGTGCTACACCCAAAAACCATTGTGTTCTGTTAAATGTTGTCAAAATATACATGTTTGCTTAATTCAATGCATGTGGAAGTTTAAAATATTTTAATAATTAGTGCAAAACTTTGATTACTTGAGCTGAAAAGGGAATTTTGATGTGTGCCGATTTAACAGGGACCACAGCTCCTAAAGTCTGCCCTGAAGGGAGGTGGTCTAACAGTTCAGGCCTACAGAGCGAGTGGAACTGCAAAACCTGTTCAGGGGGATTTTACTGTGATTCTGCTGGAATCACTAAACCCACTGGATTCTGTCGTGAAGGGTACATCAGATTTATGAGCCTGAAGATTAAATATCACTCGTGTGCTTGTTATTTATAGCCACTTTTTCATGAAACTCTTTCCCTCACAGATATTACTGCACAGAGGGAGCTGTCACACCTACGCCTACTGATGGAGTCACAGGGGGACCTTGTCCTGAGGGTCACTACTGCCCAGAGGGAACTGTTCAACCTGTGCCCTGTGATCCAGGGACTTATGTGGCAGTAACACAAGCTGCTCAGTGTGAGCTTTGTGTGCCAGGCTGGTACTGTGTGTCTGGCTCCTTGCTCCTTTGTCCTGCAGGTGGTGATTCACACTCATACAATGCAATAGCACGCAACATTTTCAAATATTCACTTTTCATGTTTCATATTTGTGAATGTCCGTGTGCTCACCTTTGGCCTGCAGGGTTTTACTGCCCCAAAGGAACTGGATTTGATTTAAAAAGCTGTCCAGAAGGAACTTACGGTCCTGATCCAGGGTACTGGTCTGTCTCCCAGTGTAGGCAATGTGATGGAGGCTATTACTGCTCTTCTAGAAATAGCACAGCTGTTACTGGAGCATGCCAGGAAGGACATTACTGTTCACATGGAAACATCTCCCCACAACCACAGGCTACAGGTAAACCTCATTTAGGGAACAAAGTACAAATAGAGCACACTTAATACCCTACCAATGTGGAGGATTCATATTTCATTACTTGCCTTTGTTTAATCAGAAAATTGACAAAATGTCTCAATTTGTGTTTTTCACCAGGAGAAGGAGGACCATGTCCCTCTGGACATTACTGTCCACAAGCCACCATCCGTCCTCTGCCCTGCCCACGTGGAACTTTCTCTAATATCAGCAAATTAGTCTCCAAGGTGACTTTCACTTAGCATCAAACTCACCTGTGTTCTTTGGTGGCGACTGGCAAGTCTATCCATCTGAAATACCCATCAAGATTTGGTTTCAGGTCTTCACAGCGCTGGCACTATTCAAACTGAATGGAGTTTACTGAAAATGCTCATTAAATGCATGAGTAGGATGTTTAATCCAAAGTATAAATTAATTACAAAATTACATTAATAGACACAAATAGTGCTGAGTTTGATTGAATTTATTGACAACAAAGACAACAATTAAAAAGCAAAATCAGATAAAATTCTTATCTGAAAAACCAAAATCTCTTGACCAACATTTTAGCTTTTTGTATGTTTTGGATCTTTGTGTTTTATAGAGTAACCTTTAGACAGTTATTCAAAACTTGCTTTCTTGCATTTGTGCAGGTTTTGATGGTATACTTGCACTTAAGCCACACTAAACTACCGTAAGGAGCGACAATAATAGACATTTCCAAATCAAAATGATTAGCCTCCACCTTATTGGACATTTGGCAGGTTATAAAAGAATCACATGTTAAAAATGCTGCTCAAAATTGTTGCCTGAAAGAGTAATTTTTTTTTAACTTAAACATTTTGTTTTTGCATTACATTATTTATCTAAAGAGACACTATGCAGTTTTAGCTTGCTTTTAGGAACCCCAGTGTCTGTTAGTGAAACCTATCTCCTCGCTGTGCGTTTGTCGTTTTAACACCTTAATCTAACTGCTGAAATGTCTCCTCAGCCTTCAGTAGTTTCTACTGGAACGATTCATCATTAAGTCAAACAAATCAGCTGTGATCACGGTCTAAAGTATGCAGGAAATGTGCTGGATTGAGACTGCAGCACCAGCCATGTCACTTTACTAAGCCCAACAGGGACTGGAGCGGCATTGTGAAGTTGCAAGTGCGGTATTCTGGCCACAGAGTGCGGTGGGGTCAGAGTAACATTTCATTAACCCTGTAAAGGGTCATTATACTGGCTCAAGAAAATGATTGAAAAATCTGAAAAAGTTGCATAGTATGGCTTTATTCCTGAGCCACACAGCGTGATGTATTAAACAAACAAGAACTTGACATTACAATTACAGTTTTTAAATGTTTTTTATTTAGATTCAGCAGCTTTTTTCCTGTATTTATTTGTTTCTTCTGGGCCTTTTAATTTTCCTCCTAGGAGGATTGCCAGCCTTGTCCTCCAGGCTCCTACTGCGGCACAGAGGGGCTTTCAGCCCCTTCAGGAAAATGCAGGAAAGGCTACTTCTGCCTTGGCAGTGCAGATCGTCCTGACCCTCCTTTTGGAGACAGCCGAGGAGGGCCGTGTCCAAGAGGTGACTGAGGGCCGTGCAGATGTGCTCTTTTGTAGCTGATTTACTGAATGAGAGAGAGAGTAAACTGCAGAAAAAATGTAGTAAAGTCACTGTTGTTCGTGCAGGAAATTGTATTTTTAACCATTGCATTGGGAAACACTTTACTAATGAGACATGAATTACATTTAAATACACATAGGCCAGTCTAACAATAGACTCTTTCAAGCTAACAGGGCTAAACACAAACAGCCTTTAAGCTGAGAGTGAAAATCGAACCTTGTTTCTTGCGGATTGTGTGTCTTTGTGTCTAGTCCATGACTCTTGTCTTCACACAAGCAGGTTATTACTGCTCAGAGGGCTCTGTGGCTCCTCAGCACTGCCCCCTGGGAACCGTCAGCACAGAGAAAGGCCGAGCCAGCTGCAGCGTCTGTCCCCAGGGGTAAACTCACTTATCAGCCACACACACTCACTGTCTCCAACAGAAACAGATTCTCACATATAAACAGAAAGATGTTTGCAGCTGTAGTGTATGCAGGGTACACTGACGCTTCACTGCAACCAACATTTCAAAACTGGGTTGTTGCATTTTTGTTTCTCTCCGACAGCTTTTACTGTCCTGGCACAAGTAACGGCTCTCTGTCTGAGAGTTTGGAGTGTCCTGTGGGTTATTACTGCCCAGCTGGGACGTGGTCCAATCACCAGCACCCGTGTCCAGCTGGAGCCTTCAATCCTCACACTCAGATGACAAAACCCCAGGACTGCTTGCCATGTCCTCCAGGTCACACTCCATTTACTGCTAATGGTTTATACTGTCCTCACAGGTTCATCGCTTGACCCAGACTTTAAGTAAATGACCAAGACGGTGATTAGACAGTCTGTTGAAGTAGTCCATGTCAATGAGTGGGTTGTGAAAATATCACTAAAAGCAGCAAGGTTATCTAAATATACGGTCTGATTCACACAACTCGCATGACTTTTCCCCTCATTTCATCTTCAGCCAAACATTTTCTGGGTGGTTTTTTTTTTTTTTAAATCAGGATCATTCTGTGCATCTCCTGGCAAAGACAGCGCGTCAGGCTTGTGTAGCGCCGGATACTACTGCCTCTCCGGGGCTCGGTCACCTGCACCAGAGGATGGAGGGATGACCGGTGATAAATGTCCTGAAGGACATTACTGCACTCAGGGTTCCTCCACACCACTCCCCTGTCCTGTCGGATCCTACAGCAACCGAACCAGGAACACACACATCTCTGACTGTCTGCCTTGTCCTCCAGGTTAGGACTAGTTTATGTGAAGAACACAGTTTTTCTGTGTTATCATTTGAATCAATGGTCCCACCACAAACCTTTTTTTTTAAGGTTTCCTGTGTGTCAGTAGAGGGCTCTCTTTTCCTTCCCATATCTGCCCAGCTGGATCTTACTGTTCAAGTGGAGGAAATAACAAATCGCAGGATTCAATCATCTGTTCACCTGGAAACAGGTGCCCACTTGGAGCTAAGAAGCAGGTACCCTGCTTACCTGGAACATACCAGAATTTACCTGGACAGGTGAGGAAGAGAAGTGCTGTGCTGCATTTCTTCTGCTGTTTTGTCTTCTCTATTTTGATTGTAAATTAGAATAATATGCGTTACCATATTTGATAGAATAAAATTTAAACAAAAAAAAATCACAGAATTATGCTAATTAGATTATCTTTATACATTTAGACACACGTTAGGTTATATTTATTTCTACCACCCATATGTGGTTTTCACTGGCTGAAAATGTCCATCCACTGTTTGTCCTTGCCCAGGCAGACTGTACTGAATGTCCTGCAGGATTTTTCTGTGCTGGCTCGGTGGATGCTGACACTGGGCAGGTGTCTGGAACTCACACTCCCATGCTGTGTCCTAAAGGACATTATTGCCCACCTGGTAAGCAGCGGGAGACCAGATATTATAACATATCTGTGAGAAATGTACAGCATCATCGCACCATGTTTTCACAAGCAAACAAAATGCCTCGATTGGGATGCCACAGCCAATCTCAGAGAGATTGTGATTAAATATGGGTTGCGTGAAAAAGTGCACTTGTTTTATTTATGGTCTTAAATGAGTCACTGTGACACTAAATAGCTTTCTAATTATGCAAATGTCCATTACTGAGCATAATCAAGATAGCCATGGTCTTCATAAATTGCTCTTTGATGTCTAGTTCTGGACCATCTGCAGATATAATACATATTTATCTACAGGAACGCAGACTGGTGTAGCATTTCCGTGCCCAGCTGGCACTTTCAGCAGCCAGATGGGAATGTCCAATAACTCGGACTGTGAGCTCTGCCCCCCTGGGAGATACTGCAGTTCATCTGGACTGTCTGCTCCCTCTGGGGTCTGCTCTCCGGGGTAAACACAGGCAAACTGAATGTTCAAAAAGTGATTACAGAGAAAATCCTGTCCTTGTTGAATATTGTCTCGCATGTCTATAATTTGTGTAGCTTAATTATCTGTCTCTTTTTATAGCTACCTCTGTATCCATGGTTCGGTGTCCGCCCAACCAGAGGAGGGTTCAACAGGAGGACGGTGCTCTACAGGGTCTTACTGCCCACAGGGTACCAGCTACATGGTTCCTTGCCCTGCAGGAACCTTTAGCTATATAGATGGTACATAAAACTTAAATTTTTTTTTACGCACAGTATAATCAGAGTTATCTGAATGCATACTGCACTTAAAGTATATAAGTATTCCCCATGAGGATGGAAAACTTTTGTGATGTAAACACTAAATAATTTTGTGCACTCATGCTCTTATTTTGACTGGTTGCATCGCAGCATTTCTGGTGGGTTTCTGACTGATGAGAAGCAATAACTGCAATATTTTACCCAAACTCAATCCATAACCTCCTGATACTCAAACTTGTATTTGATGTGATTTAAAAGAAAAAAACATACCTAGCGATTACAAATTATTCAGCTCTCATTTATGGAAACAAAATTACAAATACAAAAATAAAATTTAATTTCAATTGAATAAAATGTGGTCAATTTCCTTAAAAAAAGAAAACAAGTAAATGTAATCTTAAACTCAATATCAAGTGTTTATAAATAATAACAAACAGGTTTAAGTCGAAGAAAATAATATTTTATATTTATAATATCGGAGGTCAATAATGTCAAATATTCATGATTGTGAATTTTTTCCACAGTCAAGCCGCTCGACTTTTAAATAAAATGTTTTTTTAGGAGCTGTGTCCGTTGAGGCGTGCCAGCCCTGTTTACCTGGGCACTTCTGTTCTGAGGCTGGCGCCTCTGCTCCATCTGGACCCTGTAACCCTGGTTTCTACTGCAGAGAAGGTTCCAGAACCTCCACACCTTTGAGAAATGCCACTGGTAACTTCTTTTTTCCTGACCTTTACATAATGTTAACTAGATTCATGACACCATGCACAACTGGTTATTTTTGTAAAAGCATTGTTTTATAATAGAAAACAAAGAAAAAAACTTTGCAATGCAAATTACTTTTTGGTTTTATTTAACCTTCTCTTGGCCTTTTGCTGAGTAGGGCTGGAATGCCTTAAAGGAGCTTTAAGCATTCCCAAGAGCTCTCTTTTAGCGTTATTTTCTTTGGATCCCCTTTTCTGCGCTTCTTCACTCACTTGTTATACGACATAATAAAGTTTTATTGTCTCGGTTTCAGGAGACGTAACATCTTCAGCCGATTCCCTCCTGAATTATTTCCATGGTGATGTGTGTCCTGCAGGCCACTATTGCCCTGAAGGCAGTGCAAACCCAAGTCCCTGTCCTCCAGGTAGAAGAAACAATCTGTTTTTAAAGAGAACCAGTGGCTTGTAAAAAGGTTGTACAACTTTTCTACCTCATTGCCATGTCCCTAAAAACAGTCATTTGTCTAACCTTTCACTGCATAATGCACTGCCTCAGATACAGAATAAATATACCAGAGGGCGGCCATATGAAAGCCTAATGTATCCAGAACCTTCGAGATGGTTGTAAAATTTAATAGGAGTCCAATAAAATTGTGAAAATGGTCAGATAGATACTTAATTAACTGATTAAATGGAGCAGTCGCGACAATTACCCCATATCTTTCCCGAATGTGCATAGGTGTGTGTGGGGGGTGGGTGGGTGGGTGGGGGGGTGTTACAAGAGGCAAAAATCACAGAGAAAGTTATTTTTACTTGCCAGATAATTTATCTCTTTTTCTGCAGGCACTTTCTTGGGGAGGTCTGGAGCTGAGTCAGAGGACGACTGTGAGGATTGCTACTCTGGTTCATACTGCCCCTTTTGGGCTCAGACATCCGTTGACCTCTCCTGTCCACCTGGGTGGGTCTGTCCTACCGGATCTGTGTCTGGGCATCAGCCAGGTACCTTGACCCTAAGAGCCCTTTACAGTTAGTCTGGTCTTCATATTGACATTGTTTGTGATTCTGATTTGTTTCTAAGGACAAAATATTGCTCAGATGCTATTTTACATTGTTTGTTTATCAATAGAGATGCATTGAAGATTTTTTTTTTACTAATAAAACTAATAACCCCATCTAACTGTTCTGCTAATGGTGTCCATATATCTGATCACTTTCTTCTGTCATTCAACATCCCCCTCTGCTCTTTAAGAACTAAGCCTATCTGTCACATCTCATTCCGCAATATCAAAAACATTAACCCAGACACCCTGTCTTCTATTATTAACACTATATCCATCCCTAGTTCTGCTTCTCCAGACCATCTTGTTTCTCATTATAACTCCATACGCCACAATATCTTGGATTCTCTTGTCCCAGTCAAAACTCTGTCTGTCTCCTTTACTCACTCTGCCCCCTGGTTTACCCCTGAACTCCGACGGATGAAAGCCAAAGGACGTCAACTCGAACGCCTCCATAAACGAACTGGTCTTGCAATGCACAAAGAAATGCACAAAACTCATCTGCTTCAATACTTGGACTCTATTAAACATACAAAATCTGCTTTCTACTCTGGATTGGTTTCCTCCAATAAAGGTAACTCCAGGACTCTGTTCTCAATAATGCGCAATATTTTGCATCCCCCGGACTCTTTACCCCCCCACACCTTTATTCTGCTCACTCATGTAACTTTTTAATAACCTTCTTTACTCTGAAAATTGCTTCCATACATCAGCAATTAATTCCAAGCTCTCCCCCTCCCCCTGAGATTCTTTCACACCGCCAGTCATTTTGTTCCTTCCTTCTTCCCACCTCATCCGAAATATCTGATCTTATCTGTAAATCAAAGCTCTCCACCTGCTCTCTCGACCCCCTCCCTACAGTTTTGGTTAAAACATGTCTCACCTCCCTTCTCCCTCTCATAACCGCCATAATCCACTCCTCCCTCTCTACCGGTATTGTTCCATCACTTTTCAAAACTGCATTTATTACTCCAATATTTAAAAAAAACAACACTGATCCCAATAATTTCAACAATCTTCGTCCCATCTCAAATCTTCCCTTTCTTTCAAAAATCCTAAAAAAAATCATCTCTGTTCAACTCCATGCTCATCTCATCCTCAATAGCCTCTATGAGCCCTTCCAGTCTGGTTTTCGCCCTGGCCACAGTACAGAAACTGCACTCATAAAAATCACTAACGACCTCCTCACTGCTGCCGATGCTGGACTGCTCTCCATCCTCATCCTCCTCGACTTGAGTTTGGCCTTCGATACATCTCTCACACCATTGTCCTCCAAAGATTGTCTTCCCTTGGCATTTCTCATACCCCGCTTGATTGGTTCCATTCACATCTCTCTGGCTGTACTCAGTTTAGTCAACTCAAATCCTTCACTTTCCGTCCCTTCCCTGTCACTACCGGTGTCCCCCAAGGCTCTGTTCTTGGTCCACTCCTTTTCATCACTTACCTTCTTCCCCTGGGAAATATTTTCCGTAAATTTGACATCCATTTTCATTTTTACGCGGATGACACCCAGCTCTACGTATCCTCCAAACCCTCCTCTTCACTCCCTCCTTCCTCCCTCACCAATTGTTTATCTGAAATCAAAGACTGGTTCACATCAAACTTTCTCAAACTTAACAGTGATAAAACAGAAATGTTAGTTGTCGGCACTAAATCCTTACTATCCAAAACCCACAGCTTTACACTTCCTGTCGACAACTCCTTAGTTTCCCCCTCCCCTCTGGTCAAGAGTCTGGGTGTCATCCTCGACTCCTCACTATCCTTCCAGTCCCACATAAACAATATTACCCGGTCTGCCTACTTCCATCTACGTAACATTAACTGCCTACGCCCCTACCTCACTACTCCCTCGGTCATCATCCTTGTCCACAGCCTCATCACTTCCCGTATTGACTACTGCAACTCTCTTCTCTTCGGTCTTCCTCACAAATCCCTCCATGAACTCCAACTTCTCCAGAACTCAGCAGCCCGCATCATTACCAGAACTCCCTCCTTCCACCACATCACCCCTGTTCTTCAGCAGCTCCACTGGCTCCCAGTCACTTCCAGAATCCAATTCAAAATTCTGCTATTTACATTCAAAGCCATCCATAACCTAGCTCCCCCGTACCTCTCATACCTCCTTCATCCTTCAACCCCCACCCGTTCCCCCAGGTCCTCCTCCTCCATCCACCTCTCTGTCCAATCTTTCTGTCTGGTCACTATGGGGAGCAGGGCCTTCATTCGCTCTGCTCCCCAGCTCTGGAACTCACTCCCTCCTGACCTCCGTAACATTGACTCCCTCACTCTCTTTAAAACTAGACTCAAAACCCACCTGTTCCGTCTAGCATTCCAATAGTTACTCTCTTTGCTCCAATCTGTCTGTTTTATGCTGTTCTATCTTTTATTGTTGTGTATTTTATCTCTGTCTGTAAAGTGTCCTTGAGTGTTTAGAAAGGTGCTGTTGAACTAAAATGTATTATTATTATTATTATTATTATTATTATTATTATTATTATTATTATTATTATTATTATTATTTTTAATACAAAAAGTATGTGCCATAAATTAGAGCAAATTATGTAACAAAAACATATCATTTTTAAGTTTTCACTTTATTTCTTAGCCCATTGAGTTTATAACTGTTGTATAAAATTAGTAGTGACTGACAATACGAGATCATGGATACAAGTGGTCAAATTGAGTTTTCTCTGTAGGGTGTCTGGGCTTTCCATTAGAGATAGGGTGAGACGCTTGGTCATCCAGGAGGGGCTCAGAGTAGATATGCTTCTCCTCCACATCGAGAGGAACCAGTTGAGGTGACT